AATTATAGACGGCTGGGTGTTAGAGACAACCATATTGGGTGACACGAGGTTGCGTCAGACAGGACGCAGGAGGAGTTGTCTCATTTCCAACTTCCCCTGTTAATGCCCCGTGCATGCCCTAATCAGCATTTTTAAATTACAACCTTATTGTTACACAAATAGGAAACCTTTCCCATGCGCTGAATTGTGGCCTGCAATTTTGTATTAGCAAGGATGCTGGATTCCCAGAGTCTGGCTTTATTTGCCTAGATTTCGCTGACTTACTGTTTGTTTGCCTGGAAATAATGAACATTTTGTCTGGGAAAAGATAGACATTTAAGAATGTCAACGGGAAGCAGGAGAAGAAGCGGAAACTGTGTTCCCACGGTGGTAAAGTGTTGAGCTCTCTTCCTGTCCCCAAATCCTTGTCTTCTGTTATTTAGCAGTGAAACCTGGTGGGAGGATTAGGATGCTGGACGTGAGCATTCAAATCAAGACTTTGCTCTCTCACAAAACCAACAACTAGGGCTTACAAAAAGAAAATTCATCCTAACATTAAATGAATTCAGCACCTCCAAATGTATTTATAACCTTTTCCCTCTGCTTTTTATAGAAATGGACTTCTGAGAATTTTTTTTTGGAGGGTGTAACCTCTCAAAGAGGCTGCTGATGCCACTGAGGTCACAGACTGGCCCTCCCCACACCACATCCAGTCCCCAAACGTACTTCTTCTGTTCTTTAAAAAATAAAAAATGTTAACATTTTATATAAACATATGAGTTTATATAAAAGAAATACAGATTATATGATATGCATTTATATAACGTTACAGGATCTTGTGCTTTCTTGGGGAAAACAAGCCAGGAGGAGGCAGCCCCAGGATGTCACTTCCACTTGGGTGGTAGTGGGTGTGGCCCATGAGCCCAGAGGAAACTGACAGATCATTCACAGGAAGGGAGGAGCTGGGAAGAGGAGCCCTTTCTTCCTTTGCTCACCTCTCCAGGCCTGAATCTCTGTTTCAATGAGGATCAGATCAGCTACCTTGACATGGCCCAAATTAAATGCTCTTTCCTGAACTGGCCTAAAGAGCTGGTTTCTGAAAATGGCACGAGACCTCCCCTTTCCTAACCTTGGAATCAGCTTTGGCTCTTCCCTCTTCTCTGCAACTTCCCCACAAATTTAGTCTTCCAAACTCCTCGTGTTAGGGGGAAAAGGATGTCCTAAAGCTAATTCCATACAGGCTTTGTGGACTCCACCCCCAACCCAGGCCAAAGCCAAAGACACTGGGAACTCCAAATCCCATCCCCACCCAAGGGAAGGTGGCTGGCACCTGAGGGTGGGGTTAAGCAGCCAGGTGGGTATAAAGGCAGACACGTGGGCTTTGGAGGAGTCCCCCATTTTGGCTCTCCGCCAGCTCCCAGTGTCCAGTCAGTGCTGAGAGTGACTTTGGGGTTTCCAGGTCGTCGGATCGGGTAGGACGCATTAAAGACTTTATTTCCCTATTTTCTCCCTGAGTTGTACATTTTCCTTATTTCCTTTTCCCTTGTAAATAAACCTTTTATTAACCTTTTGTGTGTGCCTGTAGTGGAGTATTAATAAGTCCCTTGTAAGTACGCGGGTGAGGACCCACAGCCAGGCAACCCGTTCAGTATCGGGGCTGCCCTATAACACTCGGAGCAGTAAGTTAGCTACCAGCCACCGGCGCACTTAAAACATGACTGATGTGATTGAGGTATGCTATACATGCAAAATTCATGCTGATCTTAAAGACTTTGCTATAAAAACAATCATCTAAATTAGTTGATTATTTTTATATTGATTGTCAATGATATTTTGACATATTGGAGTGAATAAAATAATTTGCCAGTTTCTTTTTACCTTTTTTAATACAGCTTCCAGAAAATTTCAAATTGCACATGGGTTCACTTCTGTGGCCTACACGATCTTTTCAATTTATATGTCTTTTCTGACTCAATATATATTTTGGTGTGAGTTGACAGAGGTGCTAAATTATTGTGAAAGTGACAGTGATATTACAATATATAAAAGTATCAATCAACAAATTGTACACCTTAAGGCCTCCCTGGTGGCGCAGGGGTTAGAGACACAGTGCTATCAAGCTACAGGCAGCCAGTGCAGCACCCGCACCCACATGGCACAACAGACCTCTCCTGTCGTGCCTGCTGCTCCCCTCAGCAGTGTATTTCAGTAGATCTGCCTGTTCTGCTCCCCACTCTGTCTCTGGTGAATCCTCTCACCCCCCACACCTCTGGCTTACACCCCAGTTCTCGTATGCATAAATAAATAAATCTTAAAAAAAATATTGTATGCCTTAAACTAGATTATATGACAAATATTTCAATTTTTTAAAGTCTTGGATTTGTCCTAGTCTTTCTGGTTTTGCTGGCATCCAACAAGCTATCCTTTCACTTAGCCCTTCACTCCTAGAATTTTACATTAGTCTAAACCATCCTCCCTTCTAATCTGTACTGCACACCCTTGCCAAGTTTATCTGCCTAAGACACAGCTTTTTATCATGAAACACTCTGCTCAAAACTAGCACCAGTTCCCAACTCTACCCCATTAATATGGTGGAGTTTGACAATAAAGCTTCTACTTTAAAAGCCCTCTTGGTGCTCTGTAATTTTGCCAACAACCTGGCACTTAGCATGCCAGAGCTCTTGGTTTTCTACACAGACTAAAAAGGACGATAGCATTAGGCCAAGTTAGAAGGCAGGAGGAGAAGCACATTTGATCTAAAAGGTTACAAACAGCAGCCCCTTTTGCTTGCCCTGGTTTATACAATACCTGACAATCAACTAAAGAGCAAAGAACATCTGTGGATGTAGGAGCAGAACTATTTTTAAGTCAGTAAAAGAAAGAACAATAAAGTTGAGAGAAGAAACTGTTGCATTTGCATTTCAGAAAACCAAAACCAGAAATCCAACCAAAAAAGCTTTAAGTGAAACAGCGGTCCTCAGGCATCCATTCTAGGGCCAAATTTCATATAAATATAGTTTTGTCACAAAACAAATAAATTTGAATTATACCAATTTGAAATGCTGGAGTATACCAATAATTAAAATATCAGTTCCTCTCCAAAGTTGAAAATACACGAATTAAAAATTTGTGAGGCATCATATAAATTCAAAAGTAGCAGAGCTACTGAGTCATAAACTATGTTGATGGTATTTCTACGTGGCAACATGTTATTTACCTTGGGAAGGGAGCGCCTTTGTCAGGATTCATCTTGAATGATGTGAGTTTGGGATGGTGCTGCTGTTATAGGGCAGCCCCGATATTGAACGGGTTGCCTGGCTGTGGGTCCTCACCAGCGCTTACAAGGGACTTATTAATACTCCACTACAGGCACACACAAAAGGTTAATAAAAGGTTTATTTACAAGGAAAAAGGAAATAAGGAAAATGTACAACTCAGGGAGAAAATAGGGAAATAAAGTCTTTAACAAGTCCTACCCGATCCGCCAACCTGGAAACCCAAAAAGCACTCTCCGAGCTGGCCTGACTCTCCGAGCTGGCCTGACACTGCGAGCTGGTGGAGAGCCAAAATGGGGGACCCCCCCAAAGCCCACGTGTCTGCCTTTTGTATCCACCTGGCTGCTTAACCCCACCCTCAGGTCCCAGCCACCTTCCCTTTGGTGGTGATGGGATTTGGAGTTCCCAGTGTCTTTGGCTTTGGCCTGGGGTGGGGGTGGAGTCCACAAAGCCTGTATGGAATTAGCTTTAGGACATCCTTTTCCCCCTAACACTCTCTTCAAGATTTCATCCCACGCATAAAACACACCACCGCATGTATATTTTAATTATTTTTTTCAGCTAAGGTCATACAGATTTTGCCAAATACACTCTAGCAGAGGCTTTGGCGCATGGGTCTTGAAATGAGACAAATCGACTTTCTACCACCCATGGTGTTACCAAACACAGATTATTTAGCAGTTGGATGTAAATTGGGCAAAATTATACTTTCCTCGTGTTTTCTAAGAATCGAAGTAGACAGCAGAGTTACCACAATGCGGGGCATGTCAGAAGAGTCCCCCCACCGCCGGGGCCATTCCTAACCTTGGAACCAGCTTTGTCTCTTCCCTCTTCTCTGCAACTTCCCCACTAATTTAGTCTTCCAAACTCCTCGCAGCAGTAAGTTAGCTACCAGCCACAGGAGCATTTAAAACATGACTGATGTGATTGAGGTATGCTATACATGCAAAACTCATGCTGATCTTAAAGACTTATGCTATAAAAACAATCATCTAAATTAGTTGATTGATTATTTTTATATTGATTGTCAATGATTCTTTGACATATTGGAGTGAATAAAATAATTTGCCAGTTTCTTTTTACCTTTTTTAACATGGGTTACAGAAAATTGCAAAATTGCAAAATTGCAAATTTCAAATTGCACTTGCCAGGCGCCTGGCCCCAGCACCCCGGCCTGGAGACTTTCCTCCAGGCAGCTTGCAGACTCTGCAAAAGGGTGGGGCTTTGGCGTCTAACGCAGCTACTAGGCTCCGCGAGGTTTAATGGACCGAGAGTCGCCCACGCCTTGGTGGGGGGGGGTGCAGGGGGGGTGGGAGCCAGAGCGTCGGCCTGTCCCCTCCGCGGCGTCCGCGACGCAGCTGCCGGGCAGCGGCCGGGCGCCCCCCGCGGCGCGAGCTCGTCCAGGCTCGCGCTTCGCGGGGAGGAGCTGGCAATGAAAACACCACCACGTGGCCAGCAGCGCGTGCGTCAAACGCCCTCGCCCAATGGCGAGCCGCATCAGGGGCAGGGGGCGGGGCGCCCACGAGGAGATCCCGCCCACCGCCGTCCCCAATTGGCCAGGGGGCCGCGAGGTCCGGCGCCGGGCGGGCGGGCGGGGCCTGGCGGGCGGGGCGGGGCCTGGCTCGGGGGGCGGGGCGAGGGCGGGACGGGGGCGGGGCGAGGGGCGGGCCGGGGGCGGGGCCGGCCGGCGCCAGCGGGCTGCTGAGCTGGCTGTCCCGGCTCCGCGCGGCGGCTTCCTGGGGTCGGGCCCCCGATGGAGGCCGAGGCCGCGGACGGCCCCCCGGGCGGGCCCGACGCGGCGCTCACCTGCTTCTCCTTCAACCAGGACTGCACGTAAGCCCGGCGCCCGCCCTGCCCGGCGGGGAGCGACAAGGGGCGCCCCGGGGTGCAGCCCGCCGGCCCCTGGCCGCGAGCGGGGCGCGGGCCTGCGCCCCTGGGGGGCCTGGGCGGGGCGGCTGCCGGCGGCCCCAGGGGCCACCCCGCGCGCGCCACCCCGGCCCCCGCCTCCCTCCAGCCGCGGGGCCCGGCGCCCCACCCTCCGCCGCCCGCGGGCGCCAGAAGGGGGGGCGGGGGGTGCAGCGGGCGTCAGCGGAGGGGGGCTGGAGAGGGTCAGGGAATGGGGGCGCGAGGGGGGCCGGGGTCCACGATGGGGAGGGGTGCCGGGGAGGGAGGGTGGTGGCAAAACAAAGGAGGTGGGGAGGGAAGGGGAAGTTGCAAGCGGACCCAGGAGGGGGGCCGGGCCCAGGAAGATGGGGGTGCAGGAGCAACTTTCCCATTTGCCCTTGAGCATCTCAACGTGGCATCTGGGCCGGGCCTCGGCCGGAGAGGCGGCCTATCCCCGCGGCCAGGCCGGCCCCGGGGAGGGCATCCTGCGCCCGCCGGGGTCAGCACCCCCTCTTCTGACCGTGTGTCCACACCCCGCGCGCGGGGCCGGGCCGGGCCCTGGCCGCCTGCTCTGGGAAGTGGACTCCGGGCTGTTGCTTTTCTGCCGGGACTTTGCATGTTTCACCTTGCTGTTGGGGTTTGGACTTTGGCCAGAGTGCCTGGAGCTGCTGGATTGTGTTTCAGACCTCTCGAGCCTCCTGTCCTTTAAAAACAAATGCCTGTTCGCCTCCCTCTTTGCTTGGAGTTGTTAGACGCTCACCGGGGTGCGGGGGCCCTGAGGGAATAATCTCCTTGGAATGTGCATCCCGAGCATCAGGCCGGGGTGACTGCCTCCCAGGTCCCCACTTCCTGCTGCACCAGTTTGGTTGTGTTGCTTGTTTGGAGTCAGCTTGGGGCTGGTGCTCTGGCGGCCCATGGCTGGGCTGTGCTAATATTGAACGTCCAGTGGTGTAATTAAGGCCGTGGTGTACATAGCAGCTCTGGCTGCTACTCCCTTTGTGTTTCTGTTTAAAAACAGCCAATGACAAACAATATGCCTTTGTTTGGAGAAAGAAAAAAACCAAAACTGTAATGGGGTAGCTGGACAGCTCGGTTACATGAGTGACTTTCAAGCTTTTCTTGACCGCAGTTACCAACAAGAAATACATATTACAAAACCCATACGCCCAAAACCCATATATATACATGTAATGTCACTGAAAAGCAATTCACAAAATGGGGTTGACCTTTTTTATGTGCTCTCCTCTCTAGTACTTTCTTTTTTTAATGCTGTTTGTGACTCACTGAATTGTTTTCCTGAGTTGGGACCCCAACTTTACAAAACATGATGATCGAAATAAAATTCTGATGTTTTGTAAGAAACATTTTGCAAAAGAGGGTGGCTGTTGAAATGCCTGGGTGTTTTCCTTTTCAATTGAACACAGTTTAAGGAGGAGGGTTAGCTTGCTTTTGGGTTGTAAATGTTCTAAATTGAGCTTGGTCAAATTGTTTACTACTTTTTTTTTTAAGTGATGTCAACTTTAGATAAATCCCAGCTTCTGTAGTCATTGGGTTGGAATGTGATTTCCAAACTGTAGGGTGCTTAGAAAGTTAATGTCCTTAGTCCCTACAGTCAGTTCTGTTTTCTTGGATGAAGGTCCTGCTGGGCAGCTCTGTCTTGCCTATAAATAAAAGTCTTTCTCACAGTCATTTGCTTGCAGCCATTGAGGGTATGACACTGGATTTTAAAATAAGTCCAGCCCCTTACCAAATACATTTAGGGGCCTTCCTGCCTTTTTCTGTATGCACAGGCTCAGTTGGGTTCTCGTATTTCTGGAAGAAGGTCTGTGAAGACAACTAACCCTTACCAGTCTCCTTCCCTCATTATTTTGTGCTTGGCTCTGGATACACCTTTCACTTGATCAGTGATATGTAGTTGTCCCAAACACTATGCCCATGAGAAATGGTGAGGCTGCTCTTATCTTCCTACAGAAAGGCTTTCTAGATAAAATAAGGTTTTAGTCTGAATTCCTGACTCTTGATTCAGAGTCGTTTGTGGCCACTGAGCTGCGGTTTAAAACATAATAGTAATCCCATTGCCATTTTCTCAGGGAACAGAAGAACTTTCTATAGTTCTGCTGCAGGAGGAGGGCTAATGTTTGAAAATGACTTTAAATTGCTCACTCTGGTTAATAGCATGCGATTCTAGTTACATTTTTTCCTTACTCGCAAGCTTGAAAACCGCAGCTTGCAACTGAATGCATCTATATTTATGTGGGAACGTTTATGTGAAGAAAGTTCAGAAACAGTAATCGTTGCAGAGAGTATTTTGAAGTTGTAAGATGCTGCTGGCTTGCTTTCTGGTAAGTGTTTGTCATCACTGGGGCTGGAGTTCTGGACACCCAGTGCTCTGCTGGCCTTATGCAGATTTCAGCACACGGGCCTTGCAGCCAGCCGGAGGGCACCAACGCCCATGAGAGCTTGATTATAGTCTCTAGCCCTGTGTCACAGGGTAGAACAAACGTTTGGGTAGAAATAAAATCCAAGGAAAATTATGTGACCTTTTTTAAGGTTCATCAGGCAACAGGCATGGCCATCCGGGTTTCTAGCTTTCAGCTGTTTATTTTAATCTATGCTTCCCTGTGGCAAATGGAAACTCACCTTTTCAGATATTTTGCTCACTCTCTAAGGAATATTAAGGAATAAGGAAGTTGGGCTAATTTTTAGGTCCACTGAGGACCAATGTAAGGTCCATTCTAGCTCCCACACTTTGGGGTCTGGTCAGTTGCTCATTCTGAGGATTTTCTAAAGGAAATTCCTGACTCAGGTGTTGAGAACAAAGCAGGAGGGGACAGGGTGGGCATTCCCCGCTGTCAAACAAAATCGACTCTTTGCTTTTATCCCGACGCTAAGGAGACCTGTGTTCACACTCGGACTTCATCTGTCAGTTGAAAAATAAAAAATGAAGGAAACAAGATTTTTTTTCCAGCTCACTCAGCTCCAGAATGTTTTCTTGGTGTGTGGTTTGTTGGCCATGATGCTTGCTTGGTGGAGTACAGTATAAAGCGCATTTCTCAACCCTGGCTGCACATCAGACCACCTGACCTTAAAAGCAATCCAGTGAAATAGAAAGCTAGTCATCGGCACTTTTTTAAAAACTTCCCAAGTGAGTGTAATGTACATCCAGGCAGACGAGCCACTGGGGTACAGTATGCGGGAGAGAAGGCCAGCAGAGGCTTAACCATTGCACAGGTGCATGAGGAGTGGCCTTGACTTTTCCCCTTTTGCTGTGTCTGCTCACCTGACAGGACAAGCACCCAAGTAGGGAGCTGTTGACTAGCTAAGCACCTGAGGACGTGTATTTACCTGTTCCTCCCGTGAGACTGGGGGCCAAAAGGTGTCTGTCTTCAGGCAGATCTGCCGTCGGAGTGTAGTCCTGTCCTTCCCACGCTGTCACTGTCCTTCCAGGTCCCTCGCAATTGGAACCAAAGCCGGTTATAAGCTGTTTTCTCTGAGTTCTGTGGAGCATCTGGACCAAGTCCATGGAAGCAGTAAGTGTGTGCGTGAGGTCCCGGGGACACCAAATCCTCCCCTTAGACTTTTTTTTTTTAAAGGTTTATTTATGCTTACAAGAGCTGGGGTACAGGCCAGAGGTGTGGGGGATGAGACAGAGTGGGGAGCAGGCAGGCAGACTGACTGAAATACACTGCTGAGGGGAGCAGCGAGCGAGACCAGAGAGGTCTGCCACGCCATGTGGGTAACTCCCTGGCCGGCCAGGGATCGAACTCATGATACAGAGGCTGTGTTTAACCCCTTGTGCCACCAGGGAGGCCCTCCCCCTAGACTTTAATCTCTGGTCTTCCTGAGCATCTGCCTTCCCTCCCTAAACCTTCAAACATGCGGTGTGAGTATCTTTCAGATTTCATATAAAAGCAGTGTCTCAGGCCTCCCTGGTGGTACAGGCGGTTGAGTGCTACACTGTGAGGCTGTCCACAGCCTCTTCAGTGCGGGTTCAATCCCCGCCGGCCATGGAGATGCTTCCCGCAGCAGTGTATTTCTGTCATCTGCCTGTTCTGTTCCCCACTCTGTCTCTGGTGAATCATATCACCCTCCCGCGCATCTGGCCTGTACCCTGGTTCTTATATAAAAATAAATAAATAAATCTTTAAATAAGATAAAATAAAATCACTGTCTCCACTTGCTCTCCAAAACTGCAACAAAGCACTTGGTAAGATTTGGCAAAAGCTTAGGGAGCATTTTCTTTCAATATCAAGATATCCTTTGTCTGAAATCATACTGTTGACCCTTCTTTATGTAGGGACATGCACAATCATTAAACCAAAAGGTGATTTATGAGGGGTTTTTTTTTGGGGGGGCCATTATCATGGCATCATAGAATACGGGTAATATGTAGTCGTGGGAGTATTTCCTTTGTTTTAATAGAGTGACATCATCCCAATTACATAGCCCATCTCAAAGGTGTTAAACACTTCTAATGAATAATTTTTTAAAAATCAGCTTAGGAATGTGGCCCTCTTGTTTTCTCAGGATAAGTAGTAATTTCTGTCATTATAAACCATAACCGAACAATACACAGTCTTTGGATTTCTTGGAAAGAAAGTGGTTTGATAAACGACCTACCTGGCTCCTAATTTTTTTGTAAGATAATCTTTTTATGATACCATGTTGGTGAATGTTTTCCTCTGTTTCTGCCCCGTGCTGTTCCCAAGCACCAGAAGGGCAAACATGTGAAAAGAATGTTCTCAGAAGTCTCCAGGCCTCAACCTGGTTTGTAGGTGCTGGACACTCCACCTATCATCTTTCTCCTGAGCACAGGCGAACTGCCCTGGTCTTAATAGTGATGTCCAGGTTGTTTTCAACAGGAAGGGCTTCTGGAGAGCACAGTCCAGTCGAGAGGGGGCAGGTCTAGCTACCTGGTCCTCCTCCAAGGCTGCACCTGGTCCCCCTCTTAGCAACCGGACCCACAAGAGTCCTGAAAACAGAGGCCCCCACGCACTGATCACTCCTTTGAAGCCTCTCGCAGGGAGAGAGTAGATTGAGATTGTCCTGAACTCCCAAATGTAGTTGACAGCACTAGCAGTGTCCCAGAGGGGTGTTTCACCCAGCAGAGTGCCTTCCGGGAGCCAGGAACCCCCTGATTTTGCGTTCTGGCCACTGGTGTTTTCTCTACGTGAGTGATACTTGAAAGGGCTTGGGAACTGCTGCCTTGGGAACCATGAAAGAAAGGTTGTTGTAAATGTGTGCTGGGGGAGGGCGCGCCGTCAGCAAGCTCCAGAGAGTGGCTGCCTGGCATGTGACACGTGTCACCTCCTCCAGATGAGATCCCGGATGTGTACATTGTGGAGCGCCTCTTCTCCAGCAGCCTGGTGGTTGTGGTCAGTCACGCCAAGCCTCGGCAGATGAACGTGTATCACTTCAAGAAGGGCACGGAGATCTGTAACTACAGCTACTCCAGCAACATCTTGTCCATAAGGCTAAACCGGCAGGTGAGCGGGGATCCCTTGGGGGGAGGGGAGCAGACTTCTGCTAATTGGAGCCAAAGAAAAAGGTGACTGTCTTTCAAGAGCAGTGTCTCCAAAGCAAGCTTTAAATTGATTCTGATCCGTAGTCAGTCCCCTTTGCAGCACTGGAGATGCGTCGTCTTTGCGCTGCTGGCCTGCACCTGCATCAGACTAGTTTGAAAGGGGTCTTGAATTCTCAGGCCTAGTGTTACAGGGGCCATTGTGAAGAGAGTCTATGCCAGCACTTGTTTCACTGATGTGTCCTCCCTGGTCCTGCTGCCCCATATTCTTTCTGGAACAGTGACCACTGGCTCAGTGAGCCTCTCCCCCTGGGTACAGGCTGGGCCAAACTGTGGCTCTAGAACTGTCTTCTGAGCTATTGCAGGGGCAGTAGCCCCCTAGATTGGGCTCTTGACCATGGCATTCATTGCAGACTGATGGTAATGCCTCGAGAACAAACCTCCTGAGGACAAAACCTGGTCCTCCTGGGTTAGTGCTGAAGCCAGTTAGTAAAATCCAACCTTCTCTCTTTTTTTTTTTTTTTCAAAGTTTTTTTTTTTTTTTTTTATTTATGCATACAAGAACTGGGGTCTAGGCCAGAGATGCGGAGGGTGAGATGATTCACCAGAGACAGAGTGAGGAGCAGAACAGGCAGATCTACTGAAATACACTGCTGAGGGGAGCAGCGGATGAGTCAGGAGAGGTCTGCTGCACCTTGTGAGTCAACTCCCTGGATGGGGATTGAACTCATGCCACAGTGGCTGGTGATAGCTTCATAGTGCTGAGACTTAACCCCTTGCACCACCAGGGAGGCCATTGAGCCTTCTCTTGCAGTCCGCCGGGGCTCTCCCAGCGGGCCAGGGACTCAAGTGTCAGGCATCCACTTTTCTTGTTCCCAGCTAACCCTGGAAGAATTTGTTCTTGTCGTGTTTTCTTTTTTGAAGGATTATTCTTATCTCAGATATGCAGTCTATTCTCCTTCAAAATATAAGCTCTTGTTAAATAAGCAGTTGGGATCTTAGCAGAGTTTCCCTTGAACTTTTAGATTTTAAATCCTGTGAGGACAGGGATGGTGGCAGTTCTGTTCACTACTGTGAGGCCCAATAGGAAACACAGTGCCTGGTAGAAACTTTTGACAAATATCTGCTTCCTGAGTGTCTGTTACATAAATAAGCAAATAGATTTTTTATGTGACCCCACAGATCTAGCTATTCAATTAAATATTCCCAGGAAGGTGGAGGCCCTTGCTTCCCTGGGAGCAGTATTTTGTTATTTCTTTATTTCTTTTAAACTATTAAGTGCTGATTCTTTTTTTCTTTTCTTTTTTTAGCAATTGAGGCTTTCTTAAGTTATCAGGAAGAAAGGGTTGTTTCTTTGACTCGATCAACTATTTAACTGAATATCCACCTAAGTCTATGTAAAGCAGCGTGGTGGAAAATAGCCTGAGAAACAGATGCAGGGGATTTTCAAGCGAGGAGCAGCAGGAGTGAGGAGAAATGAACCCAGCTTCTTGGCAGGGGAGGGCAGTGCAGTTTGAGAGTTCTCTGTTTGGAAGCCTCTAAGCACAACTGCTGGGTTAAGTGCTGTCTCTGAAATCTGTTGGTAGCACCCAAACTTCATTGCAGGACCTTTTATCTTTGTCTTCAGTAGTAACCACTATATGAGCGTCGGATATCTTTTTCCTTTTTGGCACTTGGTCTTTTTAAGATTGTTGAGACAAATGTTCTAGAAAGAGCAGAACCTATAAGTAGAATCTATGGTATTTGTATAATTTCTCTCACACTTGCTCTCTGATAGTTTCATTAGCAAATGGGACTGTTAGTGTACAGACTGAGGGGTACTCCTGGACCCTCAAACTTGCATGCTCTAAATGGTTTTCCATCTGCTGTGTAAAGACAAAGCATATGCTTACTGTGGAAAACCTCTAATGAAAAGAACTTTAACAGAATAGTTTGCATAGAGAGAAGAAAGGGTAGCAGTTTCACAGTGAAATAACGAAAGTTATTCATCCCCTTATGGTAAATACCCAACCAAACAGGGTTGGCCTGAAGTGGGGCCACAGAGGCCTGAAAATTTGCCTCACATCTAGGGCACCTTCTGGAAGGGACACAGTGGAAAAGCAGAAGGGGCCAGGCAAGTCTGGGACAAAAGGAGCAAAATCAAAGTACTCACAAGGCCACGGCTGCCGTTGTCGGCCTCCCCATGGACTGTGACCTGCGGCTCTTCCAAGTGTCTGTACATGTTTCTCCTCAAAGTGCCCCAAGTCCCCGGAGCAAGCCCAAAGCCGAGCGGCAGGCTTACCCTTCTTCACGTGTCTGTCCTCGGCTGTCCCCCAAGTCTCTTCTCCAGCTTCCCTGAGTCTTCTCTCTGTTCTCAGCTGCGCTCTTCACTAGGCTGGGCCAGGCACATGGAACCTCCTTTTTAAATCCAGATTCCACTGTTATGGGACAAGAAAGGGTTATTTAAGTGTTGGAACCTGTTAACCTTAGAGGCCACCCTTCCCCCAGTATAACATTTATTAATTTGTTTTAAGATTTATTTATTTATGCATATAAGAGGTGGGGTGTGAGCCAGAGGTGCAGGGGGTGAGAGGATTCACCAGAGACAGAGTGGGGAGCAGAGCAGGAAGACTGACTGAAATACACTGCTGAGGGGAGCAGCAGGCGAAGCAGGAGAGGTCTGCTGCGCCACGTGGGTCAGCTCCCTGGCTGGGGATAGAACTCGTGCTTCAGTGGCTGCTGATAGCTTGATAGCGCTGTGTCTTTAACTCTTGCGCCACCAGGGAGGACCCCCCAATATAACATTTAACTTAAGGTTCACATCTCTGATCTATCAAAGAGCATTAATGCCCCTAGAACTACCCAGCAATGAGTGGCAAAGCTGATCAACAGTCCCTTCTTCCTTTGGCATAGCTTCTAAGAAGAGGATTTGAAACAGGGCTGAAAAATTATTGGGGTTCGCTTTGCTTAAAAGATTCAAGTTTGAGGCTGAACTACTTTTGGTTTAGGCAACCCTGGTGGCCCCTGGGTGCAACAGGTTGGCGTTCCCGGGCCAGGCTCTCTGCCGCCCCCTGGAGGAAGCAAAGAGGCTGCGTGGGACTCAGACTTGCTGGTGTCCCTGCTTCACTGGGGCTTCCTGCAGCTCAGTTCCTTTTAGAAAAACAGGAAAAAGTGAGAGATTTGTGCAGGAACTTATGAAGAAGGAAAATCCCTATTTTCCTTTAAATATATAGGAAGGAAGAATAATTGTGACATTTTTCTTTGGGGTTTATCTTCCCTTGCATTTATGTATTTACTTATTTTAAAGATATATTTATTTAATGTTTTGGTGCAGGGGGTGAGAGGATTCACCAGAGACAGAGTGGGGAGCAGAACAGGCAGATCTACTGAAATACACTGCTGAGGGGAGCAGCGGGTGAGACAGGAGAGGTCTGCTGCGCCATGTGGGTCAGCTCCCTGGCCAGGGATCGAACTCATGCCACAATAGGTGGCAATAGCTTGATAACACTGTGCCACCAGGGAGGCTCATTCTTTCCTTGTCTTTAATCAAGGAAATGTTTTTTATGGAATAAAGACAACAAGCCAAATGTATTTGGATATGTCACTGCTAACAGCTTTTAACCATCTGTCCTGAGGGCCCTTATCCATGTGGATGGAATCTAGGCCTCTAAAGTATAATCTGCATCTCTGGTGCATGAGGACAGATGCTATCAACGTTTTCTTTTAACTGATAAAAGGAGTTTAAAACCTAGAAAAGTAGCTGAGAGGCAGAAAGATAGGGAAGGGGCTCGGGAAGGCAAGCTTATGGCTCTCCTGAGACTGAGTCAGAGGACGCGCTTGGCACGTGGTGCTGAGAAGCATGCTCTCATGTGGCATGGCCCAAAGGTGAAGGGCTTCCTCGTGCCCTTTTCTGCCTGTTTCCTTCCCTGTTTATTCTCGCCTGAAGTCAACGTGGGGATGACCTGAAATTTGGTTGAGTGACTCCCAGAGCAGATGGGCTCTTTCAGCTGGTGGGAGGGTGCAATGAGGCCAGAGGGGCTGTACATGCCAGAGGGACACGTTGGGGGCCGGTAACTGTATGTGAGGCTGGCAGGGGTCATGAGAGGGTATCAGAAACCTAAGGATGTGAAGAAGCACAGACTAAGCTCACCCAAGCCAGAGTAAGTATTGGCAAAAGGCAAAGTGATCTGGTAAATCAGAGGATATACGTTCCTTGGAGAAGCACTCATATTTGTCATCAATTTTCAGACCCTGTTAGAATATTTTTACACCTCAACACCTGGCTCCAGACCTGTGGCCAAGGAGTCTTCATTAAAATCGAGAAAGATGTTTCACTTTTATCTTTCTGCGGGGTTACAGGGGCAGTCTCCATTTTCTGAGTGCGAGGAGTCTTATTGGGAAGAAAAAAGAGCAGACTTTTCCCAGGAGGAGAGCCTGTTGGGTTTTTTGTTGTATTTGAAGAGTTTCCAAATGTTGTTCCTTAGGATCAAAGGGATCTGGTACTGCAGGATCACCTGCGTACTTGGTGAAAGATGCCCTCTGCCCATCCCCCGCCCTGGCCCCCAACCAGAATCTGCAGGGAGATCCCAGGTCCTGCCCCCAGGTGCTCAGGAGCTAGTCTGAGAACCACTGGTCTGGAGTCAGGCAAGTGCAGGGCTCGTACGTAAAGGCTCAGAGTGAGGAGCTGTGGGACCAACGCCCCTTCCCAGCAGCCCCTCCCCAGCACCCAGCACCTGCACTCGCACTGAGCTGAGCGCCTCTGCCTTTCCACACCCAACACTAAATTGACCCCCTTTTCACTTGGTAGAGAGCAGAGCTGCTGGGAAGAGGCGCTAAGCCTGGGCCCCGGGGAGGAGCTGAGCACCAGGGGGCCTCGAGGGGCTCCAGGCTCAGGAACCGTGTGCTCTTGTGATGGCTGAGGACATCTCTGTTTCCCCTCCTAGGGCTGGAGTGGAGAGAAGTTAAAGCTGGGAGGGGGTCAAACCAGACCAGATGTCACAGAGGGGGCAGAGAAACCCAGATCCGTCCAAGAGGGAGACCCTTGTTATGAACATCGAAAGGGAGCCTGTCAGATGAAATAAAACCCGAAAATTTACCCAAAATTGTCTTAAATGCCAAATGTCTGATCAGGAAGTGTTCAGGAATTCCTGGTCTCAGAAGAGGGAGACATGCACCCCAAATCTCAATTTATAAATGAAATTTCTTAAGATCTGTATCTTAATGCTTCCATGCAGGTGGATAATGATGTCTGGGTGTTGCATACCTGTGCGCAAACCGAAGCATAATCTCTAAACTGATCCTCAAAATTCCCCCTCCCCTTAGGCTTAGAATCAAGTTAGGGCTCTCTGGCAGACACGTGCTTTCCACGACACCCCCCACCCCATCCCTCCTCGAGGCGGCGGTGGCAGGTGACGCGTGTGTGTGATTGCAGAGGCTGCTGGTGTGCCTGGAGGAGTCTATCTACATCCACAACATCAAAGACATGAAGCTGCTCAAGACCATCCTGGAGGTCCCTGCAAACCCAACAGGTGAGCCCAAAATGCAACCGGTACTTACCCTCCAAATCCCATCCCAGGAGCTCCCTTCACGGGCTGTGTTTCCATCTGAAGTGAAAACCCGAAACAGTGTTGTCTGTGCGTGGTACATCTCAGAGGTTTGTCTTTGCACCGTGAAGCTGGGATTGAATAATATTAGGCTGTGCTGGGGTGGGCTGTGTGGCCCCCCCTTCTCCGGGGACCCATTCTTGGCAAACATGTCGAGGCATGGAAGGTGGACACGTGGAAGATTCCTTGCAGCTGAGATTGTGTTCGTTCAGCACAGAGTAAGTGATCATTCGAAGCAGGTTTTGAGTTGGCGTGTCCACAGAGCTAGGAGAGAGACCGTCAGAACATTAGGATGTGCTTTAGTACATCCAAAGCAATCGCTCCACTTGGGCGATGTGCTGAGCCGTTGGGCTTGACCTAGTTCTCAAGGAGTAACACTGTTTACACACTCCCTGTTTATGAACAGGAATACTTTGGATTTGTTAGAATGAAGTACCCGTATGATGACGTTTTATGAATTCATTGAGCTAGACATGAAAGAGAAGGAAGTCCTCCCTTGGGCGGTGGGCTGAATGGTCCTCACGCTCAGGTAATTGGGCATCTGATGATTCAGGTTAATATTTCAGGTGATATTCCAGTTTCGTGTCTGCTTCAGTTCCCTGGCGATAACTAATTTTTGACTCTCAGTGAATTTCAAGATCTGGTTGGCCCAAGCCAAGTTACCTAGAGTCATGCTCTGGTTTCTTTTCAGATCGTATAAATCTTTAACCTTTCACCAAGTCACCTAGACACTTGGTACATCAGTTCCTTTTCTGTCAAATAGGGTAACAATGCCCATGTCACGGGGCCAGCTGAGAATGGAATGAGGTAGCGGCCATCAAAGTGACCTGCTTACGTCTGCCGCGCAGTGAATATCCCCTCTGCCTCCTTTCCTTCTCTTGACCCCTGCGATAGAGAAGGCCCTTGGCTGTTGACTTCCATATTTAAAAATTCAGCCAGGATGAAAACCTTCAGAGAACAAAGCCTGGGAGTGGAGACTCTAAAGCTTATTTCACAAAATATCAATAGAGAGTGGTGCGTTAAAGAGCTGTAGGTGGTAGCACCCTCGCCAGCAGGGGGCCCTCGTGCCCACGGTCACACGAGGCTGCTCAGGCAGGGTGGTGCTGCCGGCCCTGGCGCCGTGCCTGCCCCCCTCTGCAAGCAAAGCTTCTCTCCAGCTACTCTTAATTTTAGCAAATAGAGCTGTTTTTCTTAGCTCAGAAAACTCATGTGTTGCCTCCCAATTTAAACAGAGAGAAGAGAGGGTTTAAAAGTGTTTTATGTGAGCGAGAACGTGTGTTATTTGTAAAGGCAGTAATTCTTACCTCAAGAGAAATGAGAAGCAGCAGAGGGGCTTTCTCTGTCTTGGACAAAAAGCTCGAGTGGACTTGGGTACGTGGAACATTCGCTTCTGAAAGACCAAACCACTCTCAGGGGAGACAGCCCAAGCCCCCTTCAGTCCTCAAATGGTGCATGATCCTCTTCACTTCCCCTGAGCTCCTGTTTTTCCTAGTGAAAGAGAAATGATAGTTTTCACGCCACGGGTTATCACTGGTGGGACTGGTTGGGGGCGTAGTGTGTGTGCACAGCCATGTCCACTGTCCAGGTGATGGTCACTCACCAGCCCCGAGGGCAGCCTCATACAGCTGAAACTGCCCCCCTCCCCATGACTCCACCAGCACCTCACTCAAGCACCCTCAGTGACACCGAGCTCCCCAGACCATGGGCATGAAGTCCTCGGAGGCCTGGGCTCTCCTCTTTGTTCTCATTCTCATTTGCTTCCAGAATGAAAATAGACGCCGGACACCGGCTCTTGGCTTTCTGAATCCACGATGGGCTCACGGGGGAGACAGGCACCTGGGGCACACACATTCTCAATGTCTGTTGGCCTGGTGACCTGCAGCTAAATTATAACGCAAAGTTTCCTTCACTGCTTTGAGCTCAGCATCTCATGCAGCTGGAAATTTCCTTCCTTTTGTCTGCGTTTATGTCCTGCCCATTCCTGTCGTGTCAGAGATTTCAGGCTGTTTCCTTTGACGGGTTTGGCCAGACAGGTCTCGAAGTTAATTTCCTGCTAGCCCAGTGGTCTCTGCACCGAGCAGCTGAGGGCGGAAATCTCCATGCAAGTTCTACAGCTGCAGGCATCGGTGTGCCAGGGAGCTCACCCCCTTGGAGAGGGAGGAGCAGTCTCCCCACACAGCAGCAGTCCCCGGGGAGTGCTCTCTCTGGAACGGGGCTGCCCGTGGGGTGTGTCTGGCTCTCATCTGTAGTAGCTTCCAGCATTTGCATGTACAGAGACTTCTATTTTTGAAAACTGGAAAGTAGATCCTGAGATAGTTATCAACCCAGAGGGAACCACACTTCATACATCACGGTTAACTTGCTCTCAGCTTGACGTGTTAATAGCAAGATGCAAAGGATCTGGAATTACAGGACTCCTTTCTAATTTCAGTCGATGATGCCACAGGTTTTGAACTAATAGCAGCCCTTTCTTTTCCAGCTGTAAAAGAATCACAGCCAAAGGATTGCAGTGAAACTATAGCTGACATGATTCATGAGAATGTGTGTCAAGCTTAAACCCAACCCCAAAACCTAACTCCTACATAGAAAAATCATGGAAGCAAATATTGCTTACATGTTGCGGATAGTGAAAAGTTCTGGGTTTTAGAATGATGGGAGATTTTTTTTCCCCCTCTCTTTTTAAATTTGGCTACTCTGCCTGATATAAGTGGGCTCACATAGTATCTTCTCTTTCATTATATTTTCTGGGCTCTACAACTTCTTGACACTATAATTTATATTATTCTATAATATTATATAAAAAGCGCATTCGAGCCCAGAAAAGCTGAGCTTGACGTGCAATATGGTAATATCGAAACCTGGAGGAGGCTTCACAAGAAATAAAGATGCTTTCTTTTTTTCTTTTTTTTTTAAAGATTTATTTATTCATACATACAAGAGCTGGGGTACAGGTCAGATGTGAGGAGAGTGAGAGGATGCACCAGAGACAGAGTGGGGAGTAGAACAGGCAGACTGACTGAAACACACTGCTGAGGGGAGCAGCGGGCGAGACAGGAGAGGTCTGCTCGCCATGTGGTTTGCTCCGAGGCCGTAGGGGATTGAACCGGCACTGCAGAGGCTGCGGACAGCTTCATAGTGCTGCGCTCAACCGCCTGTGCCACCAGGGGAGGCCCTAAAGAGGCTTTCTTATCACCAGTTAGATTTGTTGAGATTTTCTGTTTTGATTTCCATAGGAAATCAAAGGAAAACATTTAGGGCCCCCTTTAGTCTGCAGGAATCAGTGTGCAGGATCCCTTGGCTAAGTCCAGATGGGTTGGTGCAAACCCAGAGGTGACCCCATCAGATGAGTGGGTCAGCTTGGGCCTGCCCTGTCCCTGCACACTAGTCTCATCTCTCTCCATTAGGAACAGAAAGTCCAGCCTTAGCTGAGGCAGTTGGAGCCTGTCTCCCTCCTTGAGATATTTACATTTTGATACAAAACTCCCAAGGGTAACTGGAAGCATTTGTCCCAGTCTTCTGCCCAGAGACCTCACCTGCCACAAAGCTGGGCCCTGCTACTCTCACAGGGCGGAAGCAGGGAAACGAAGGCTTGGTGCCTTGGTTTCTGCTAACGGCTTTATAGTCCACATGCCGTACAATTAATTCACCCACTTAAAGTGCACAATTCAGTAGCTTTTATACTATATTCAAGGAGTTGTATAACTAGCCATCACCACCTTCAATTGTAGCATGTTTTCATCACCCAAAAGGAAGTCCCCTACCTCTTAGCCATCCCCCTACCCCCCAGCCCCAGGCAGCCGTAATCCACTTTCTGTCTCTATTCTGGGCCTTTCCTGTAAGTGAAACACACGCAGTATGTGATCTTCTGGGACAAGCTTCTTCAGCTTAGCAGCGTCCTTTCACAGCTCACGCCGTGGTGTCCACACGCCGTTTCTTCTCGTCTAATAAGCAAAATACATAAAAGCCCACTTTTATTTAGCCAGTCATGATTTGATAGACATTTGGGCTGCTTCTTCCTTTTGACTTACAGATAATGTAGCTGTGAACATTCATATGCAAGCTTCGATGCCTCTGTGGTGTTGTTTCTCTTGGGTATGTGCCTAGGAGCGGGATTTCTGGTAATTCTGTTAAGCTCTCAAGGAAATGCCAGGCCGTATCCCAAAGCACCACTCCACACCTGGTCCCTTCCCCGCAGCGGCGCAGGTGGGCTCCAATTATCTGTCTTTTTCATTCTGGCCACCCTGGTGGGTGCAAAGTGACATCTCACAGCGGTTTCGATTAGCACTGCTTTCTTTAAACCTAGGTGCTCAGAACCTTCAGCACTCACCTGCCACGTGTGTGAGATCCTGACTCTGGTCTTTACGCAAGTCATTCCGCAGTTGCCACCTTGTGTCCTCACATCTTCTCTGCTAATGGTCCCTGTGGGCCAGCCTGGCCTCCTGAGGGACGTTCTTCCGCAGTTTCATGGAACCAGAATGCCTTCTGCCTGCCTGGCTGTACCTGGATTGCAAAGAGTCCAGATGAGACAGCGAATTGGGGTTCCCAGAGCAAAACTGGGGAGGTGTGAGCCAGTGCAGGAGTGACCTTGTACAGGCAGGAAGCTGCAGGGTGTGGGCACACTCAGGTGGGACCCGGCCACCTTCCTCCTGGGTGGCAAGTGACAGCACAGACATGGCTGTGTCGTCAGCAAGGCCACAGCAGAGGGTGGATCTTGCTTCCCATTCTCAGTGTTTTATATTTTTTTCCATCTGCTCTTCCCCCCGGTGAATTAGGTAAGGCACATTTTAGCCTGATGTAAAGTTTTGCTTATACTTTTATAAGAAACCCATTCGACATGCCCGCTTGTAACAAAGATGTCAGTCATCCTTTTTTTTTTAAAAAAAAGATTTATTTATTTATTCATACAAGCACTGGGTACAGTCAGAAGCGCGGGAGGGTGAGAGGATTCACCAGAGCCAGAGCGGGGAGCAGAGCAGGCAGAAGGACCAAAGTACACTGCTGAGGGGAGCAGCGGGCGGCAGGAGAGGTCTGCGCGCCATGTGGGACCCTCGCCGGTGGCCGGGGATCGAACCTGTGCTGCAGAGGCTGTGGCAGCTTCGCAGTCCAGCGCTCAACCGCTGCGCCACCAGGGGAGGCCCCCCCTTTTTTTTAAGGATACTGGTCACACCCTATCTGAACATTGTGCTTCTGGTTATGCTTTTGGTTCTGAAATTCTTTGACTTCACCTCTACCACACACACCTTTACTGATCTAGACCACACTTGTGAAAATCCTTCACTTCAATGCTATTAGGATTTGCCTCCCCTTAAGTCTCCCTGTAAATAAAATTGGTGTATGTAGTTCCAGTGATTAGATTGGCTGTTCATTCTTCCAGGATTTTGTCAAAGCATCTTCCGTCTAAAGCATCTTCTTCCTTTGGTCTGTTTCAATGGCAGACGTGCCATCTTAACTGCAAATTGAGTCCTCAGTGTCCTCTGTTAGGCTCAGAAATGAGATTTAAATTTGGCTGCTCTCCCCCAACACACACACACACCCCACACCCTGCTCTCCAGTGTGCCCCGGCCGGCCAGCTCTTACTTAATCACCTGCAGGAAACCCAGCACACACTGACCTTTCACAGCGGGGAGATTTATTTCAGGTCTAAGTGGATCCATAACCCTAGAGAGTGATGGAACTGGGAGAGATACAGGTGGTTCAGACCCCTGGGGTAAAATGTGGAGCAGCCACCACCAGTGCCGCCTCCTGTGGGCCCCTTGGCGGAGTCCTCTGTCCCCACAGCCTCTAAAAGGAGGGCGCCCCGTGGCCGCTCCTCACTCGCCAGTAGGTGGCGCTGCAGCTGTACTGTTCCCAGATGCCCTTCCAGGCGAGTTCTGCCCCGGGGGGTCCCCCGGCTTTTCACCTGCTGTTTGTTCTTTGGCAGGTCTGTGCGCCCTCTCTATCAACCATTCCAATTCTTACGTAGCCTACCCCGGCAGCCTGACCACAGGCGAGATTGTGCTTTACGATGGCCACTCCCTGGTAAGTTGACCTTGACCCCACCCACCTGTCTGACTGTGTGGTCAGTGGCTGGTCAGTGTGACCAGCAGGCGCCCTGGCAGTGAGGTGGGGGTGGGGGGTGGCGGTGGAAGCAACACTGAGGCACCTTGTTCTGCCTTCGTCGCCATCAGTCAGCGAGCCCAGAAGCAACCCAGGCCAAGTCAGGCACCTGCAGCTCAGTGCAAACCTGGGGGCCTAGTTGTTGGACCGAATGCGGGGTGCTGCACCATGTTGTGGGGCGCAGCTGTTCCACAATTCCTGTCCCCTGCTGAGCCTGGAAGGACTGCAGTGGGGGGCCCCCTGAGGTGTACACCCCAGGGGACCCTCCACAGCGTCACGCCACATTAGTACAGCTGGCAGAAAAGGGAGAGAAGCGCAGAGGCTCCTGGAGCAGAGCCCACACCCACCAGAAACTCGTCGGGTGGAGGGGGTGGGGACCCAGCGACAGGCAGAGTCTCAGGGCGAGGAGAGAGAGGAAGTCCGGCTCCCTCACCAGGCCACTATCGCTTGTCCCTTTCACTATCAGAAAATGGTGTGCACGATCGCTGCCCATGAGGGGACGCTGGCCGCCATCACCTTCAACGCCGCTGGCTCCAAACTCGCCAGCGCCTCCAAGAAAGTGAGTGTCCCCCTGCCCGCTCAGGTGCCCGGGAGGGAATCGGTGGGTGAGATGGGGGTGCCCAGAGCACAGGCCTTCCCATGGGCCACCCTCTCCGAAGGGAGAGTTTCTGGCCCCGGCGCATCGTGGCGTCCGGAGGATGCGTGTGTGAACCCAGCGCTCCTGCAGCCGCCCTGCAGGACACGCCACCCTCTGCACAAAACCACCATCCAGGAAGCAGGCGGAGTGGGGGGAACACACTCTCCACATGAGCCTGGCGCAAGCAAAGCAGCTTTGCTCTTCATTGAGCTCCTCTGCTGCAGCAATCAGTAAAGGTGACCGGGTTAATTCCTAATGCCATGAGATAAGCTGGCCCTGGTCTAGGGTGGGGGCAGGAAGACCCGAGCGCTGCAGACACGTTCCAGGGACCACGTACACGGCGTAGATACCGCCAGTGACGGCCCTGTGCTCGGCACTTGGCGCTTCCTGCTCAGAGCAGAAGCTCAAAACCCGTGCGTCCAGCTCACACACCCCCAGGGCCATTCTCAGCGAGCGCTTGCTTTCCATTCCAGGGCACGGTCATCCGGGTGTTCTCTGTACCTGAAGGGCAAAAGCTCTGTGAGTTTCGGAGAGGAATGACAAGGTCTGTGTTCCCCTGAGGCCCTTGGTAAAGTACCAGTGGATGTGGGCAGTGGACGCAGGCAGCCACTGGGGCGAGGTCGGAGGGCAGTCCATGCCCCTCTCACTGGCCGCCCAGTGGACTTAGGGGCCACGCTTAGCGCTTAGCCACCTGGGAGCGTGGGCGCTGCTTTGATGGGAATCTGGCCATTTTTTATTGTGTATGATTCAGGGATGTAGGTTCACACCTCCTCTGAGGTATGTTACCACCCTACACCCCCCTGCAAAGCCCCCAGAATCCTGTACCCTAGTGCACGGCCCCTCCCCCTTCACCCCCAACCCTCCTCCTCCTCGCCTGGCAGCGAGAGGCCTTCCTTGATGTGTCCATGAGGGGCTGGCAAAGGAGACAGGAGTGAGGGGCCACAGTGCAGATGTGATTTCCCGTCCCTGCGTGGAGAGAAAGGGCAGCGTGGGGGTGATGGTCTGGGGCTGCCGCCGTGGGTGTGCAGTGGCGTTGGGGCCCAGGAGGGGCAGTACCCGGCTTCTCGGCCTTTGACTCCCCAAGTTCCCATCAGGACTAGCACGAGGGTGGAAGGATCTTAGGACACCAGGCTCTTCGGGGTCCTCCCATCGGCTGAGAAAGTGGATTCTGAACTCGCAGTGGCGACCCTCGCCCCTGGGTCACACCCCCGCACGACTGTGCTTCTAGGTACGTGACCATCAGCTCGCTGGTGTTCAGCATGGACTCGCAGTTCCTCTGCGCCTCGAGCAACACGGAGACCGTGCACATCTTCAAGCTGGAGCACCTCGCCGGCAGGTACGGCAGCCGGGGTGAAGGGAGTCGGTCCTGACTGTTCCCTGTCACACACACACGCACACACACACACGCACACACACACCTTCCAGCAGAAGGGAGTTCCTTTCTTTTTGTAAGCTCAGCTGCACTGGTTACGCCTTGGCCGAAGCCATGACTGTATGTTACTATGGCCTGGGTGGGGGATGCACAGAGGCCCCAAATCTGCCCTTTGCCCCCGAGGTTGCACCCACTGCCCCTTAGGAACTGTGCGACCTCGGGCAAGTAATTCAGTCCTTCTGGTCTGCCCGTTCCTGATCTACACACATGATGGCATAGATGCCTCTGAGCTTTGTGGTGAGGAGCAAGAGGCTCCCTGATGGACAGTGCTAAGGGAGAGCCTAGTACATGGTGACCAGCACCCGACGGGGCAGCTATCAAGCCAGGGGTCTATTAATTCATGCCAGCACCCCAACTGAGGGTTTTGCACACACTCCCAATGCTCGTGAGTGGACTGAGCAGGAGAGGAGCAGGGCAGCGGCACAGAGCATGTGCAGGAGTGAGCCCTGGTGAGCATGCGCTTCCTGTTGCCGCTATAACACATTTCCACAAGTGCCGTGGCTTCAGACAGCACGCACGTATGGCCTTCCAGTTGTGCAGGTCAGGGGGCTCTGAGCAGGGGTCGGAGTCCTCTTCCAAACTCACTCCTATTAATGTCAGGTGTTTGTGGCTGCAGCAGTGAGGTCCCCAATTCCTTGCTGGTTCTCAGCTCCGAGGCCATCGCTTCTTTCTCGTAGTCCTCAGACAGCAACGTTTGCTCCGATTTCTTCTTGAGCTTTGGATTTTTCCAACTTTCCCTTCACCACCAGTCAGAAGAAGAGCTCTGCTTTTCAGGGTTTGTGTGATTCGCTCGAGGCCCTCTAAGTACTCTCCCTGCCTCCAGTCACAGGGCCTGTGGCCCGTCACCACCACGGGGGTCACCAGTGCCAGGGACCAGAGCACGGGTTCATGGGGCCATGTCTGGAAACTCTGTCTGCCGTAGCAGGTGAGCACTGGCTTATAGAGGGAAGCACCTGCCAGGTGCGTGCCCCTGTCCACACCTGGCACTCCTTCACCCTGGAAAGCAGCGAAGAATTGTGCTCGCATCAGCCCTCACCTTGCCCAGCGCCCCTCTAGGGCCAAGCTCTTGCTTCTGGAGCACAGTCTCTGGCTCACACCTTCCTCGGGGGCCTTCAGAGGAAGTTGGGGCATGAACTGTCTGTGATGAGCTCAGCACCGCCAGGAAGCAGCGGGCAGAGCTGGCCACGGACACTCAGGCATGGAAGGAACACAGCTATTCTCACACGTACCCCTTGGCACAATCTTGCGAGGGGGCAGGCAGGGCAGGAGTTTCAATACTCAGGAAACTGAGGTTCAGGGAAGTTCAGGGTCTTCCCTGTGTTCCTGGGATCACATGTGAGCCATGTTTACACCCCACGGTGGGCTCACCACAACGCCCCTCATGACAGTCCAAGCACCTGCTCCTGCGCGGGTTGCCACCCCTACTTCTGTGACTGACGCTCTCCCGATGACGGCCTAGGGGAACAGCTGCGTCCACCTGAGAGTAAGACACGGCGCCCTCCTCCGTAATGTCACCTTCGTGTGTGTCCATGCGGCCACCGTTCCAGATGCATCAGCACACAGCAGCAGAGGGGCCCCCGCCTCTCTCTGTCCCTGCACTCCAGGGGCCTGTCCAAGGGCCTCGGGGTTTAGCCCTGGCTCTGGCGCCCTCCGTGGTCTAGTGTGGTCTAGGCCTGGGAACCTGTCCCCACTGGTGCTTGAAGCACCGGAGATGCACCCCCTCGCCCCTCGCTCCTTGGAGACCCTTCACCCCGTCCACCTGTGTCCCGAAGCACAGTGCCTGCCCTGTCGCGCTTGCTCTGCACGTTTCCCCTGGAGAGTAAATCTACTTTCTAGATTTCTCACTGCTCGGCGCACTGGATGTGTGGCTGTGTTAAGACGCCCGTCCACTGACGCATCCCAAACGGCCGGTCGCGTGAAGCCTGTCTGCACCGATGCTCACGATAGCACCTAAGACAGGAATGGCCATTTAGACCCTGCCCCTCTGTAGGACCCCCGCAGCTGTTGGTGAGCTCAGATCACCAGGAACAGAGCTGGAGTCATCCCAGACCCCTGCGTCACTGTGGAGTGTAGCAGGCCCTGGTCACACACGCCTCTGGGCCCGCCCGCTCCTCTGGCCTTGGCCAAGGCTGTGACGCCTCCTGGCCGGTGTCTTCTGCTTCGTCTCTCCCCTGCCAGTCTCCTGTTGCCAAGCCATCCCGTGTCTTCTGGCTGAATTCACCTCTGGAAATGCTCCCTCAAAGGGGCCCGGCTCCTCCTCCTTTCCCCTTTGTCCTGGGCAGCTTGGTGGCTGCACCCCAGCTCTTCCACCCGGCCCAGCCGCCTGGTTGTGGCTCCTGGATGCATCTCTCACTTGCCCTCACATCTGAGCTGCTCTCCCCCGCCTGCCGCCCGCCCCACCCTGCGGCTCCGAGAGCCACCTGCCCCAGGACCCTACCCTGCCATCACCCAGGACCCCAGAGACACCAGCTTATCAGGTGGCGTTGGCTGTGTGCCAGGCAGAGCCAGGCCCCAGTCTGCACCCTGTTTGCTTCTCACAGGGAGGGGACTGCGATTACTACTTTTCCCAAGCTAGGAAAATGGGAACGGGAGGCAAGGGGCCTCAACCGCCGCCCTGTCCCGTGCCCCCCAGTCCTAGGGGCGCTACCTACCATCTCTGGCCCATGTGGCCTCTCTAGTCATGGCACGTGTTTCCCACCCCCCCCTTATTTTTTTTAATTTTATTTATGAGTCCAAGAACTAGTGTACAGGCCAGAGGTGTCTGTGTGTGGAGGAGGGAGGGTGAGGGGATTCACCAGAGACAGAGTAGGGAGCAGAACAGGCAGAAGGACTGAAAGCACTGCTGAGGGGAGCAGCGGGGGAGACAGGAGAGGTCTGCTGTGCCATGTGGGTAGCTCCCTGGCTGGGGCTCAAACTCTCGCTGCAATGGTTGCTGGTAACTTCACTGTGCTGAGACTTAACACCTTGCGCCACCAGGGAGGCCCACGTGTCTTCTCTTACATGTGTGCTGTTTCCACTTGAACGCCAGACCTAGATATTGGGCCTCCGTGCACCCCAATACTTAGCACAGAGCTTGGGGGTGAGCATCCAGCTCTGCTCCCTGGCGCACAGGGTCGCAGGAGGATTAGTTCCCCCGAAGGGCCTGTCGCTCAGGTGGCATCGAGGCCCAGAGAGGCGCCCCCGAGTCTGGTGGTCACAGAAAGGAGTAAACCCCAGAGTTGTGTTGCAGTGTAGGTTACCATGGGGGTGTGTCCCTGTGGACACAACCCCTCCATGGGACCCCTGGAGCTCACGCCCCGCAGGGAGCAGCTGGCAGGAGTGTGCGCAAACCCACAGAGCAGCCGCCCCTGCCTGCAGCCGGGGCCCTGGGGTGCAGAACATGCAGCTCTTTTTGAACTATCTCCACCAGCATGAACTGCCGGGGCCCTGGTGGCTTCAGGGCTGGGCGTCTTGCCGAGAAGTCTGCCTCCCACCCGTATGGCGGGGGAGGCCGGCACGCCCAGACCGGCCTGTTCCTCCGTGGGTCCACGGTAGGCTGAGCTGACCTGACGCGTCAGGACATCGGCTCGTCTCCTTGCCCAAGCCCCCTTTTAGAAACCCACACATCGGGCGAGCCCCCAGAGCCAATTACCTTAATGTAGGAAAGAAGTAGCACTGGGAACCTCTAAATGGCTCTTCTGAAGGACATCAAGCCCTCGCTGTCCTTTTAGTTTTGCCGGAACAGCCTGTCCCCCGGATGCGGGTGGGCAGCGGCCGTGGGCAGCGCAGTCTCCTGCTGCTGCGGCGACGGGCAGGGGCCCGGGGCTCCCCCTCAACCTCACCTGTGCCTTGCCCCCCCAGCCGGCCAGAGGAGCCGTCGACCTGGACCGGCTACATGGGGAAGATGTTCATGGCTGCTTCCAACTACCTCCCCGCCCAGGTGTCGGACATGATGAACCAGGACCGCGCCTTCGCCACCGGGCGGCTGAACTTCTCGGGGCAGAAGAACACCTGCACCCTCTCCACGTACGTACGCGCCGCCGCGCTGGCCAGCACGCGCTGGACAGGTTCACTTTGCAAAACCCCCAAACACGCGAAAAGAACAAAAAAGAAGGACAAGGAAGTGACCCAGAGGAGAGGCGAGCAAAACCCCAGGCCCCGCAGAGCTTTTCCCACCCAACTCCACTTCTGTCCCGGGGTTTCGGCCTCTGGTGCTCTTGATGCCGCCTGCGAGTGAGGACCCCAGCCCCATGCGGGTCTGGGCCGACACCTGCGAGGTTGGCGGGTGTTTTGTCTAAGAAGTTCAAGGGAGCTGATTGAAGCAGGGGAGCAGCTAGACATTTTCACAAACCCAAGCAGGTTCGCGCTTGCGCCCTCCTGCCACCTTCGGGCAGGGGCTCCCCGAGGAGACCAGCGCCCACCGCCCACCGGGGAGCCGGTGGTGCTTGCCGGAGGGCTCTCAGGGCCATCGTGCCCCCTCTGCATGTTTACCCTGAAGGCAGGAAAGGCTCCTGCAGCAGGTCGCCAGGTGGGTGCGGAGGCGAAGAAACAGCCTCGGGGCAGCAGGGGGTGGGCTGGGTCTGCTGGTGGCTGGGTCGCCGGGGACGCCCCTGTGAGCCGACCTGTCATGACGCTGGCGTCACCCTCTCTGCTGTACACAAGCATGTGCTTGACTTGGCCCTTAGGATCCAGAAGTTGCCGAGGCTGTTGGTGGCGTCCTCCGACGGCTACCTTTACATCTACAACCTGGACCCTCAGGACGGAGGAGACTGCGTCTTGATCAAGACCCACAGGTGAGGACACCGGTTCTGTTCGCGGAAGGACGGCCCTCAGGGCTGGGGGTGCCGATCAGCTCCCGCCTGCTTTCCTCCCTTCTGCACCCGCCTCCTCCGGGGCAAGCCCCCCGGCGCCTACTCTGTGCCGGCCTCAGCGTCAGACACCCCCTCCCGCTCCCCCCACACAGCCGGGCCTGGGGGCACACAAAGCGAAGCCCCCACCCCCGCTCTCTCCTCACACATACGGGCACAGAAATGTTCACTGAATTGAATCAAAAGGCTCTCAAGCCTTGTGACCAAGGGCAGGGGCCGCTCTCCCGGCATGAAGGGGACCCCGCAGGCTGCCGCTGCCCCCCGCCCACGGAGCCCCTCACCTGTGACTGTGTCTTGGTGGCCCGAGAGCACCAGCAAGAGTGAAGGACCAGTTCTCGGTTTAGGAAACCAAGAGGGAGGGGCCCCCGGGAAGCCGCGTGCTGACCAGGTCACTGGAGGCCGCTTCAGCCCGGGCTGACCCAGCAGGGCACGGCCGTCTGCACTTGAGACTCCAGCGGTCTTGCATGTGTGCCCTGTGGCTTCCTTTTGGGGGTGTCCTAGACGTGTGATGGTCTCTTTTTTCCTCCCTCACCCCCCTCCTAATTGCCGCCATCAGCTTGCTGGGCTCAGGAGCAACGGAAGAGAATAAAGAAAATGACCTCAGACCTTCATTACCTCAGTCTTATGCAGCCACGGCAGCCAGACCAAGCACATCCACAGCTTCCACGGTGCCGGGTGAGCTGACAGGGGGGTCGGATGCTGTGGGGACACCCCTAACCACCCTTAGTGTGGATGGAGCTCTCCCTCAGGGAGGCCAGGGGATTGCACCCAGCAGGCAAGGCCCGGGCTCAGCCCTTGCCTGTGAGCGCTGCAAACGGCAGCAGCTTCAGTGGCCGGGGTGCACGGCTGGGTGGTCCTGTCCCCGGGGCGCCTCCCAATGTCTTGCCCTTGGTTTCCAGGTTATTCTGAGGACGGCGGGGCACTCCGAGGAGAGGTTATTCCCGAACATGAGTTTGCGACGGGACCAGTGTGTCTGGATGACGAGAATGAATTTCCGCCTGTGAGCATCCGGAACCCCTGAGAGAGCGGCTCAGTCTGTGTGCTTAGAAGGCGGCCTCCCTCTCCTCCAGGAGGCCAAGTCACCTTCCGTTAGCTCGGCCATAACAACTAACCCTCTCTAGTGTCCAGAAAGCCCTAGAATGTCTATCACGCTTTGTTTCCGACCTTACCGATTAGCCCATCGTTCTGGGGCGCCCTGAACCCGATCATATCAGAATAACCGAATACTAACCCTGGGAGGTCCGGCGGGGTCGGGGGCCTCCTCCTGTCAGAGGCCTGCAGTCCTGGCCTTCGCCCCTCCGGCAGTCTCGTCAGGCAGGACCTCGGACTGTGAGGCTTCTCTTCCTGAGGCTCCCAAGGAGCTTGTGCAGAACTTGGCCTTCTTCATGCTGAAGATGACGATGTAACAGGGCCAGGCCGAGGCCCTGGGGCAGGCGGGACTCTGTCCCCTGGGCTCTGAGCACGCAGACCCCAGCCTCCCCAGTGACTGCAGGCTTTCAGGAGCAAACGTGAGTTAGCAGGCGTGTGGAGGGTGGAGAGCCCCCAAGCCCCTGTGCTGGGCTCTCAGCGTCCTGCTTTCCTGACAGCGAGGGCCTGGGGCAGGCTGGGCACCCGGCTGGCTGCTTCCAGCCTCCCTGTCTGAAGAGAAGAGCCTCTGGGTGGCTCAGGGCCTGCTTTGCTTCTCTTGCTTCACACTGCCATTTAGAGTGACGTGTAGACCTCTCCGTGCACTTCAGCTCGGTAGCATCCCAGTGAGTCAACTGGGAACCGGGTTGAGGCCAAGACATGGAGAGCCCAAGGGGCCCCTCCTGGAGCAGGAGGGAAGGACACCGGGCACAAAGCAGTGCCCACGAGGTCCTGCAGTGGACTGTGTTCTCCGCCCCTCGTCTTGTGTCAGCTGAGATGCCATTTGCAGAGGGACGGGTGCGGGTCACCTTCCTTCTCGCATAGATCCGTGGAACAATCGAGTCAGCAGAGTCAGCCACAGAAGCTGCACGCGGGGGCCCCTGTGCGCCGACTGGTGGGCCGCGCCTGTGATTTCCCATAAGACACCCTGGGCCGCAGCTTGAGATTGACGTTTCCGGCTTCCTGATAGGCAGGTGGTCACGCCCATGGCCAGCAGGTGCCGTTTGTTTTCAGGGTGGAGAGCAGCAGTTCTGAAAGATACTAATTATAAATTTAAAATCTCTGCTAGTTTGGAGCTTCCTGATAAACCACTTGTTCTGCCTTGGGGCTCTCGGTCCCCATGTAACCAGAGAGGGAGAAGCTCTGTCTTCCCAAACATGGGGCGTTAATCCCCTAAAGGCGCATCTGCCAGCGGAGCCAGGTGGATGCTGTGGAGACGGGGGCCTCACCCGCCAGGTTCCCTTTCACTCGTTCTGGTGAAAGTCTATACTGCGGTGAAAGATTACTAGGTTGTTAATTAGATCTTAATCTGGTGATCAGAGTCAACCTCTTACTTACGTAACTGAGGTACTTTGGGTATTAGCATTCAGGAGGTGGTCTCTTGCCAATAACAAATAGGTACACTGAGTAAAGTAATAGGTACGCTGAGTAGATCATTTTCTTAGGGAGACACTCAGGAAGTAGTGCCGAGCTGAGCTCGAGGCCGCTTCGTCCTAGAATGTTCTAGGAGCCAGTTGTCCTGTCTCCCTCTCAAGGACCAAGGGATGTTGGTTTAAATTGCTTCAGATTTTTGTGCACAGAAGAGCTCCTGCCAGTGAGAGTGCAGATCCCCGCACGAGGTCCCCTACAAGGGTGTGGGGCTCAGAACAAGTGTGTGCCAAGCTGGGGTGGGCGTCACGGGCGCTGGCAGCCCGGCCTGCCCTCTGCCTGCAGGCAGGTGGTCGCGAGGAGAGGGCTGCCCTGCTGCAGGCTTCTCCACCGGGCTCAGCGCCCGGCCACTCAGGTGTCCTCTCGACACCAGCTGTCTTGGCCATGCCCTTCCGGGCAATAATGCCCAACTCGAGGTGCTAGGCGGCCCCTCTGACTCGACAGGCCCAGCGTTCACAGCTTTGCTCACGTGCTAAGACAGAGAAAGGGCCTTGGAGTCTCAGCTTGGCTGGAGCTACCTGTCTTGTGGACGTGGGCCCGCTGGATCACCTCTCATTCCGCGCACCCTCGTCTTGGCTGGGAGAATGTGGGTCATCCTTACGGGCCTTTTTGAAAATAGACCGACGCTTCCCCCTCCTCTCTATCCCTCTCGCCTCCTGGGTGCTTCCTGTGCTCCCAGAACGGTGACAGAGCCGTCGTTTCTGGTAGCGCAGGCAGATGTGTACTCGGGAGGAGACAGATGTTTTGGGACCCAGCAGCCTTCGAGTCTGTATGTGCTCACGCCAGTCTCTCTCTCGGGAGCAAGAGTCCAGGAATCCGGACCAGGGGTGTTATTGAAGAATGACCCAGCAGTCCATGTTTACAAGTGAGATGAGCCTTTCTGGAAAAAAAAAAAAAAAAATACACACCCCCACACGTATATATTCTCTGAATAGTATTTTCCGAGACTGGGCCGTGCTCACCTGGACCTAAACGAGACGGGTGGATTTTCCGTGGCAGTGAGTGAGGGTCCCCCCGTGGACCCGAGAGAAGAGCCCCCGGGTCCCAGCCTCCCCCTGCAGGCCCCGCAGGGCCCAGGTCCGTGAGTGCAGCTGCCTCACAGCCCCTTCCCGGGAAGAGTAAGGCCGTTCTGTTTTGATTTCGGTAGATAATCTTGTGCCGCGGAAGTCAGAAGGGCAAAACGAAGCAGTCCTGATGAGAAGCACACCCCAGAACTCAGGCCCCCCTCTCAGGAGGAAGGTGAAGCGCGGAGTGCAGTTGTGTGAGCAGCCGGGGCCGGAGCCCCAGGCCACCGGAGCCCCGGGACGCCGCCCACACCCTGCTATGTGAGACGCGTGACAGCTGTAGTCAGTGCTAACTAACCATATTGGTCTGTAACCGGAATTTTATATTAAAAAGGGCATCCTTTTCCAATGTATGCTGTGTAAAAATGTACCTATATAGGAAAACCCCTTTGAACTGTATTTCTTGTATATTACATCCATATAGAGACTATTTTAGCCAAGCAAAGTATTTTTGCAGTGATCGGAACAAATCATTTATTACCTTTGAGTCCCATCTAGGACACTAATAATAAAATGATGGCAATGCATGTCTATATATTTTTTGAACATTTTATTTCTTCTCGGTGTTAGGAAGCAGGGAGAACTCCTAAAATCTCTGCAACTCAGTCATTTGTCCTTTCAAGGAGGTGGTGTGGGAACATACGTCTGAAGAGGTGCGGACCTGTACTCCTGAATCATAAACAGTGTTATAGACTCACATTAACTCAATAAAAAATAATACGGTTTTTTTTAAGGGGCTTAGGGAGAAGCAGCGAGGACCGTGGGCTTATTTGCAGGCTCTTCTCAGACTTCGTGACAGGCTTCATTTTGTGCAGTCTACACCTATGCCACTTGGCACTCAACAGAATTGGAGAAACAGATCTCAGACCCCAGCCCAGACCTACTGAATCCCACTCTGCTCTGGCACCAGACCCCGTGGGCCCAGGGCATAGTCCGTATGGAGAAGTGCCCTCTGGACACCAGTTAGGATGAGCCTGTGGTGACAGGACCCACAAAACTGGGGGCACAACACCAAAACACAGTCCGTGCCAGGCACTTGCATGGACTGCCTACGGGTCCTCAGCACCAGCTTGCGAGAAGGCTTAAATAATCCCCCAAATTCAAAAGCTGGGGCTTGCACCTGGTCTCACCCCAAAGCCCAGGAGCTGCCCCACTGCCGGTGTGCCGACGGGACGCAAAGGAATGAGGCTTCAAAACCAAATCCTGTGACTTGTTTTTAAGGCACGTACAGCTACAGAGAGGGTAAAACCGAGGTTGTCGCGTGAACTTGCCCCACTTCATCTCCCGATGTTTCTGCGTGGCTAGGGGCTGGCTTGGCAGCGGCAGGCAACTCGGTGGGGGTTGCAGCAGGGAGTCACTGAAGGGTCCCGGGCGTAATCGGCCCTGGAGGTGCGGTCACTGGCGATGTCTCGCAGGACATCTGCGAGAGCCTGTCTGACCCTGGGCAGCACCTGCTGGTATTCGGCGCCATCTCTGTCCAGAGGCACCGCTTCTGCACCATCGTCTTCTAGATTAAAGATCAGGGGAGGGTCCTGGAGCTGCTCGGGTCCAGTGCTCCCATCACAGGCTTTGGCTCCACCTAGAGAGAGGGCAGACAAGCACCCCGTCAAGCACAGCTGTGGCCCTGGCTGTCAAGAGGAGCCTGGCAATCGCGTACACACTGACAACTACCGGGATCGGAAGATTCCAGGGGTGCCTCTCCCTGTCGAAGACACGACCTTGAAATAACCCATGTGTTATTTCCTGTGTTCGTTCCTGCTGTCCAAAAGAATCTGAACTTCTCCTCGGATCTACCTTCACAGCCAGCAGAATGTTCACTCGTATATGTCTTTCCTCTCTGCCCTCTGGGGGGGTGTTTGATTTTTTTGAAAATGGGCTTCTTGAATTCCAAAGACACCCAGTGAGTGAGCAGGAAGGCGAGGTGAGCAATTTTACTTGGACTGAAGCCAAGATTCGCTATACATTAGATCTGGCTATGGTGGGGGGGCCCAAGAGGGGAGCACCAAGAATGTTGGGGTGATGACCACATCCCTGGCTAGTTATGATTTCGATGACTTTATTTATTTTTTTATTTTGCCTTTTCCATACATAATGTAGCTAAGGTGTCTGGGAAAAATGAGTCAACAAAGCCCAGCTCTCAGACACACAGGGGCTCCTGAGCATTTGCTTGGCCCGTGAGCTTCTTAGCAGCCCAAGTGCCACTGGAATTTGCTAGTGGCTCAGGGCAAGCGGAGCTTTTTCTGGCACCGCAGCGTGAGAGACCATTTCAGGGGGCCTGGCCAGCAGCATCCTTAGAAAATTCCAGCTGTGTGATCAGCTGTCCCACCGAAGCCATGTTTTTTTTTTTTTTTAAAGATTTATTTATTTATGCACACAAGAGCTGGGGTACAGGCCACAGGTGTGGGGGGTGAGAGGATTCACCAGAGATAGAGTGGGGAACAGAACAGGCAGACTGACCAAAGTACACTGCTGAGGGGAGCAGCGGGCAGTCAGGAGAGGTCTGCTGTGCCATGTGGGTTGCTCCCTGGCTGGCCGGGAACCGAACTCATGCTGCAGTGGCTGCGCCTAGCTTTATAGGTTGCGTCTTAACCTTTGCACCACCAGGGAGGCTCCCAGCCCACTGAAGACATGTTATCCTGACGCCAAGTGCAATTCAGTAAGAGCAAACCTAGGGGGACCAAACCAGGCCCCTGAAGACGCAGCTTTCGTTCGAATCCAGCCTGGACGGTAGTGAGATGCGAGCTGCTGAGTGGGAAGAACAGGCAAGTGGTATCACCTGTATGCAGCCCCTGTGATATTCAGGTTGCTCAGCAGAGAGTAGGACTTACTGTCTCAGCCTCGAGTCTGGACCCGGTAAAGAGCAGAGGTGAGAGCTTGGGGGATCAGGCTGGGGTGAGGGACTCTGCTTACAAGATGGGAGTACTGGAGCTGCTTCCATAGGGAGTACTGGAGCTGCTTCAGTTAAGGGAGTACTGGAGCTGCTTCCATAGAACTAACCCTCAGAAAGATGATTATAAACCCCAGGCAACATATTTTTAAAAATACAACCAACTGAAGGTATTAGAACATAACCAAGGCAGGCAAAAGCTGAAAGGGATTCGATTCTGGAAGGAAGGGCACACTGGGGAGGGTCTCCATTCAAGTTTACCCCTCGGGACATGCCCTGTCTGTGCAGCAGAGAACTTAGGGAAAAGGCATGTGAGCCCTGGGTCAGAGGACAGAGGTCAGGGATGCCACAACAGATGCAGGCCATTGGGTGAAGTCCTGGGAAGGAGGGAGGCAAAAAGAGGTCTCAGAATCCCGGAGTAAATTCCCGCGGACTCCTGGGCTGACCCCTGAGCCAGGGGACACCAGCGCAGCAAGAGCATAAGCCTGAAGAGCTCAGCAGGCATTTCAGGCCACCCCCTGCAGGGAAGACAGACTTTAGAGTGAATCCCACTAAGTCAGAAGGGCTTGCTGAACACGTCATATTTTCCATGGAAGTCCCCAAAGCTTCACGCAAGGCATAAAGACTAGGACTAAGGGATTTACCTGGGCTTAAGGGCAAAATCTGAAAGAACCGGTTCTCACAAAGTGCAAAATCAAGACTTCAGTTGAAGAGGATGAGCTGGCCATGAGCTACCCGTGAGAACAGAAATCTCCGGCCCCGGGAGAACAGAAGTCGGAACCGCCACAGCTTACCACCCCCCACCCCATGTTCAAGGTTTTTAGAAACTTCTAAATAGGAAATTTCCAGTTTCTGGTCTGGCATGTCAGGAGCTTCCAAGTCACCGTCCATCCTCATCAGTAAAAAGATGAACACCCGGAAGTATCAACCACCCTCTTTGAGCTGTCAGGTCACACCACTGCCCCCCAAATCGGAGAGATGGACAGACGGACACAGGCAGTCACAACGCACAGAAGCAGAAGCCCTCTGCAGACACCTCCTGGGGCCAGTGGAAAATAAAGACACCTGGCGAACAAAAGCTTAAAGAATTGGAATTGCACCCAGAGACGCTCAGAAGCTCTCCAGACAGCGGGAAAATGACAAGGAGAGGAACCCAGAGCTCCTGGAAGGCCTGAGAGCACAGGGGATTTTAAGCATCGTTTTCCTATCTGAATTTCCTTAAAGAGAGCTGCTTCATGCAAAAATATTGAAATTGTATTGCGGAGTTTTAAAGTGCGTAGATTTAAGATATACAGCCATGACAGCACAGAGGACAAGAAGGTATAAAGAATAAAGAAACATGGTTTTCCGTTGTCTATACCCTCCTGGGGAGGGGGGGCAGGCTCAGCAGTCACTTCATTTCACTGAGGTCAGTTAAGGAAGAATATGACACAACCCTGGAACAGCCATTTAAAGAAGTACAAAACATCATAGAGTGGGCCTCCCTGGTGGCTTAGGGGTTAAGTTCTCAGCACTATCGCTGAGATGGCTGAGTTTGATCCCCGGCCAGGGAGCTACCCACATGGCACAGCAGACCTCTCCTGTCTCGCCCGCTGCTCCCCTCAGCAGTGTTTTTGGCCTGCCTGTTCTGCTCCCCACTCTGTCTCTGGTGAATCCTCTCACCCCCACACCTCTGGCCTACACCCAGTTCTTCTAGGCAAAAATAAATAAATAAAATTTAAAAAATATATTATAGAGAAGATAATTTGTGAAAACTCAATCCAAAAGAAAACAGGAGAGCCACAAAAAAATACATTAAGCAAAGTGAAGACAGCATAAGACGGTCTAGGGAAATCCACTCATACCAACAACCACAGTAGAAGTGAGTGAACGGAAGATCAGCCAAGTCTGGCAACCCTTCATTAGACTCCCCAAGGTTAAAAGGGAGAAGCTCATGATATTCACATCAGGAATGAAAGAGGGGTGTCATTCAGATCTTCACATAACCAAGAAGACTGTCGGGGGCGCTGGGGATGGGGGTCAGATGACTGGGTGAAATGGACACATTCTTAGAAACACGGCACCTACCAACACTGTCTCAAGAAGAAACAGAATATGCTCTGGGCCCCCCTCCTTGCTCTCTGAGCGTTTTTGTCCTATTTATAAATCTCGCCACATCTGTTGGGATTTCAGCTCTCCCCGCCCTGCCTCCCCTGAGTCGAACTGTGATCATTTAAACAGTCCTATTACTTCATGGTAACAGTTATTATTCCAATGTTGTGGTTGCAAGGGCTTTCTGGCAGGGCGATGACTTCTGAAATTAACTCAGTCTGGTGAAGCCATGCCTCTTCGATAAGGTAATGAAAGACCGTAATCTAGAAACTTTCTGTCGGAAAGCATAACAAGGATCTGACTGGTCCCATTTCAGGTCTTAGAGAATCAGATTCCTGTGGTATTTTTCATATCCTTCCAGTGATGAACTCAAAACAACTTGTCCTGTTTTTCTGCCACATTTCCTTCGGGGTCACTTATTAACACCCGGGGAAAATAATTTTTTGTTTTTTATTATATCATTCTTTGGAAAACGCTAACATTAAATAATAGAATCCAGTTGGAAGCGGCACCGGATCCAACACTTTGTTTCATTCATCTTTTAGTTTTCATTCATTATGTTGGGGTTCCTACTAAGTGCAAGGAACCTTATGCTGCAGCTCTTCAAGACACGGGATTGAAAGTTGACGGGGCTCTGGGTCAGAGACCTGAAGACGTGTACCTAAAAGACTGGCCTCCAAGGCAGAATGTGACAAATGTCAAGCGTTCTCCAAAACCCACCCACTGGGAAGATCAGAGTTTCAGGATCCAGGTGGCACCTGAGTTGAGGCCTTAAAAGCTGCCAGGGGGGTTAATACAGACACCAAGGGAGAGGGCTGCTCTCTTGCAGCGCTAAGGCCAGAGAGCAGGGGAACCAGGTAGAGAGAGCTTGAATCCAGTTGGCAGCAAGAAGTTCCTAAAGTAGACATGGAAGACAGAGTGGACCAAGAAGCAGAGACTTCGGTCAGTTTGCTAGACCTCTAAGGGCTATTTTCTGAAACAGCTTATTATCCAGTAAATTACCCCTTCAGAGATCTCTAAGCTTCCATTGAATGAGCCACCAAACTGGCTGTTGAAAGCATAACAATGGACTGAACTTGCCTTCACGGAAAAGAGGGCTCTACAAATGGGCTGAGCTAGCTCTGCGCTCTCAGGAAAATTAGGCAAACACTAGGAAGACCTTATTTGCATACCTGTGGGTGCAGAAGGCCTGTGGGTGCAGCACCCCTTGGGTGCTGGGACCTTCTGCCAGGGCCAGTGTTGGGGGTGGCACCTCCAGGAGTGCAGAGAGCCCCAAGAGACACCCCGGGCAGGGGCCAGGGCCCATGTCTGGGGCTGCACACAGGGGAGCAGGGCTGAGGGGACCCCACACACTCACCAGTGATGTAGAAGGCCTTGTAGCGCTCAAGGCGGACAGTCTGGAGTGCTCCATACTGCCCGGCCGCCCCGCTGTTGGGGTGAAACAGCACCTGAGAGGGGGTGGCAGGATTTATAATAAAATCACACCAGATGCCCCCAGCATCAAGGTCCCCAGAGCCCCACCATCCCCTCTGACCCACAGAGGACTGTCGTCCACCATCTGGGAGCCCCTGAAATAGCGGGGTTGCTCGTTCAATCAGCATGGCTCCAGCTATGGTCAGATCCAGCACATGCCGCAGTTAGAATTTGCAGGGTGCAGGAGATGGCCGAGCCCAGGCCTCAGCCCTCAGGCGCAGGATGGGGCCTGGGAATCGGCATGTTTTGCAAATGGAATTCTGACATAGGTGCTCCCAGATCTCCTTGGAAAAGGGCTTCTGCAGCCAGTGGGTTTTCCAGCCTCTCCAACAAGGATGGCTAGCAAGGCACCTGAGGTGACAGTGCGGTCTCCCCAGGATGGGGCACAGGCTGAGCTCCAAATGTTAGGGGGAAAAGGATGTCCCAAAGCAAATTCCATATAGGCTTTGTGGACTCCACCCCCACCCCAGGTCAAAGCCAAAGACACTGGGAACTCCAAATCCCATCCCCACCCAAGGGAAGGTGGCTGGGACCTGAGGGTGGGGTTAAGCAGCCAGGTGGATACAAAAGGCAGACACGTGGGCTTTGGGGGGCTCTCCATTTTTGGCTCTCCACCAGCTCGCAGCGTCCGGCCAGCTCTGAGAGTGACTTTGGGTTTCCAGGTCGTCGGATCGGGTAGGACGCATTAAAGACTTGATTTCCCTATTTTCTCCCTGAGTTGTACATTTTCCTTATTTCTTTTTCTCTTGTAAATAAACCTTTTATTAACCCTTTTGTGTGTGTCTGTAGTAGAGTATTCATAAGTCCCTTTAAAGCGCGCGGGTGAGGACCCACAGCCAGGAACCCGTTTAATATCGGGGTTGCTCTATAACACAAACAGAGACATACACCCTTTTCTTGGAGACAACCCTACTCTACAGAGAAGGAGGAAATCTTTTCTGACCAGGCCATAGAGGAAAGAATGACCCTACAAACCAGAAGTGACTAATTTGGGGTTTCTAAGGAAGAGACTTGGAAGAAAATAAATGACAGGCATCCTTGGTGGGTTGGTGGGTTTGGGCGGGAAGCGTGAGAGCGTGGTATGAATCATGACCGATAGAGATCGCTGGAAAGGCGCTTAAGTGATTCAAAGTTTCCATGGGGCTCAAAAAAAAAAAAAATAAGAAACATGTGTTGGAGCCATAAACAGCTGCCCCCCCAGGTTCCCAGCTGGAGAGGATGCTGGCGGTGGCCCCACACCTGCCGCCGCGGGCTCTCGTGATGCCCACGAGCGTGATGACAGCGGCTTCTTCCAAACAGGAAGGGAAGTGGTAACCCAAACCCTCACTTCTTCCAGCCCCACAGGAAGCCAAGCCTCTCGCCGCAGGAGGCTGTTTTGTTTCCTTGTGGAGAGGCAGGAAGCGGGGACTTGGAAACCGTATTGTCCACGAATCTGCTGTGCACTCTGACCCCCAGAAGTTGGGAGGCGATGGGGGACAAGGTCTGCTGGGTCCCCCCAATGACATGACTTGAGACTTAGAAGCAGGAACCCCACAGAGGAGGCTGCCACATCGGGATTATCTAGGCAGTGAATTCAGAGGTGACTTCAGAAATCCCAGAGGAAGCGAAACTGGGGGGCGGCTGCCCTGGGGAGGGAGGGTGGGTTCGGAGATTCCTCCCCTTTGAGCAGAGTGACTGTGGCATGGAAGAAAGTTGGCAACTTGACACGAGTTGACTCTGAAGCAATTTCCTCTCCAGAGGAAGCCGGTCCAAATTTCAAAGGTAACTTTATCTTCTGCAAACACGTTACACCTTCGTGATTGTCTTTCTCGCTCATTCGCTTTATTATGTCCCTTTTTAAAAAAAAAAATTATTTATTTATGCATATGAGAGCTGGGGTTTTATTATGTCCTAAGCAGGCCAGCGGCTCCTGACGTGAGGACCTGGAGGGCGGGCCTTGCATAGCACCCCCAAAAGGAGGTCTGTCCTCTCCCCCCTCAGGTGGGGAGCACACTTCTGCTGGCGTCTTTCACCACTAGGGGCCTCCCTAAGAGAGGTGACGGCCTTTGCAGGACTGGGGCCTAACTTCTGCTTCCTCAAGGTAGGGCCTTCAGGGACACGCCAAGGGTTTTACAGCCGGAGCAGCCCCCTGACTGGCTTGGGCCAGACGGACGCAGAGCCAGGAGGGAGGCACAATTGACTTTGTTGACTTGGTCCTGTCTTTACAGCCTCCTGCTTCCCACTGGGAGTCAGGAAAGCCCAGGTGGGAGACGGTGCCAGGTGTGCACACACCCTTCTGGCTCCCACCCCCTCCCGTGGTCTGTGCTGGGCACTGCCCTGTCCAGGTCAGAAGCTGCAGGTTCAGCCTGTGCCAGCTGCTCTGGGCTTTGAACATCATAGACTTGAGGTGTGCGGCCATGGATGAAGCAAGTGCACGGTGAGAAGACCTCAGAGGGAAAACCATAGCCCACGACTCACCTTTCAACCTCTCAACACATGACCTGGGGAGGCTGCTTCATTTGCAAAATAGGGACAAACCCAGTCACTGCAGCTTATTTGCATATTGTATTTTGCTGACATCTGGGCCTCACTTGGAGCTTCTTGAAACTGAAATGGCCTTGAAAACCATCCTGGATGAGAACCTGCAAGCCCAGGACATTTCTAAGGGTGAATACAAACGTATTTACCAAAAAATACATGTGCACGTAACATATATGTGTACATGTGCACGTAACATTTATGCGTGTGCGTGTGTGCACATGTGGGTATGTCTGTGTAGCGATGTAATAATCGTTGTGTTCTTACCTCCTGCCCTCCCTTCAGTGAATTTGAGGTGATTTACTCCAGTGTCTTTGTCAGGTGACCATGGAAGACCAAGGCCAACAATTGCCTACGCCCCTTGAAGGGGCCCAGGCAGACCACCCCAAGATTCTCACATGGGTCTCCTCAACACACCCTCTTTGCCCCCCCGAGCATCCTGAGCAAAGAGCAGTGAAATCCCATGAGGCTGAGGTGAATCGTAATCCTTGCCTAAGTCCATCGCCCTCCCCTAATTAAAGGAGAGAGCAGCGTGACCTGAGCTTCGGCCCTTTCTCTAATCAGAGACGCCATCACTGCTTTCTCTTTTACGATTTAGAAGAATGCAGTTTGAGGGGTCCCATCCAGTTGGCGGTTACCAGTAAACATGTCCTCTCTGCCAATCTTATCTAAGGCGAGGCAGTCCCTTTCTCTTGCCTGTCACTGAGGTCTCCCCTGCCTGTCTTTGACGCCCCAGATCCCTCCATTATTTTTTTTTAAATAAAGGTTTATTTATACATATGAGAGCTGGGGTGCAGGCCAGAGAGAGAGAGGATTCACCAGAGACAGAGTAGGGAGCACAACAGGTGGATCCACTGAAATACACTGCTGAGGGGCGCAGCGGGGAGACAGGAGAGGTCTGCTGCGCCATGTGGGTATCTCCCTGGCCAGGGTCGAATTCATGCTGCAGTGGCTGCCTATAGCTTCATAGTATTGAGACTCAAGGCCCCCCGCCCCCCACCCCGGCAATGCCACTAGGGAGGCCCTCTTCATTATTCTTTAGAATTTACCACCAGGTAAATTCTCCGTACATTTGTCATTACACATTGGCCATTTTTCCTAATAACTATGTGAATTTGCTCATCTGTCCAGCCTTCAAAAAAAACAGATGGGGTAGGGAAGTTTTCCCCTGCCCCCCAACACCTTCTAACTCTCAATAATCTTATCTCACTTGTCCTGGCTAACTTTGCAGGAATGCACTGCTCAGGGAGGCGGGAGGTGGCCCATAGGTGCCAGCAGCCTTGCTCTTTGACTCTGGAAGATATCACCAGTGACTTCTGGCAGGCACTGAGCTGGGCTGTTTCCTCCCGGGTCTGGGGGTGTGCGGCAAGGGAGCAAGTCAGCGCCAGCTTCGTGACCACAAGTCACACGTCCCCAGGAAATCACCAAACGGTGCTGCGGCTTGTACCTGCGTCTCCTCCCTGGTGGTTGCGCCCAGTCCTGTGGCAGCTGATCTGTCACAACCGAGCCCCCGAGATGGAGCTTCCGTGACTGCAGAATGTGCAGCTGGAGAAAGAGTAGGAACAAAGCTAGGGAGCCCAGGAGCTGCTTTCATGGGGGGACTGATCATGCCAAGGAGCCCACGGGCCTCAAAGCACTTCCTGGTGACCCCAATAATTCTCTTAGTAACCATAGTAATAAACACTAAGGAGTCTCTCCCTCCTGACGTCTTCGGTCTCCCCCAAGGCTCACATGCTGCTCATTTCTGGTCCAAAGGCGGAAACTGTTTTCCTGCCCCACCACTCAGAGTCGGAACAGGCTTGGTCGGCAGCTCCACAGGGTCAGACACTCGGGGGAGGCAGTGCTTCCTCAGCGGGAGCTGCGGGCGTTGTCCGACCCCCCTGGGCTGCACGCACAGGCTGTGGACCGGGCCTGGCTGGCTGAGAGGAAGGGCAGCTTCAAAAAGGCCGCTGGACATTTAACCAGCACCCGAGTCACTTCCAGGTGCCCTTGGCAAGGACATAAATATACTCTTTGATGTGTGGGTTCGTCGTGGAGAAGCCTGTGCTCAGAGCGCCTTATGGGGGGGGTTCCTCTGGCTTCCTCTCCTCCCACTTCCTCTTCCCCTTGGCAAAAGGAAGACACACGGAAATGACAGGGAAAGGCCATCAGCTCTGACATTTCCGGCTGTTGCTGACATGGGGCGCTGCCAAGCACATTGAAGAGGGGACACCCGGCGATGGGAAGCAGAACCCAAATAGCTGAGGGGCTGCAGGGCTGCAGGCCGAGCCCTCCAGGAGCTGGAGGGTGGGGTGTAAAGACCTTGCTGGCTCAGCCATTCGAGAGTCTTTCTTTCATTTGCTCATGCATTCATTCTTGCAGGCTGCATGCTGGGTCCAGTGTTAGGTGCCCGGAGAATTAAAGGGTGAGCCTGGCAGCTGAGCTCTTCACCCCATTCCAGGAGGGGCACCCCACAGTACACAAGTCCCAGGCACTAGTCCATCATCACAGATGAACAAATTCACATCATCATCTAGTCCAACAAATATAAGCCAAGTGCCCCCTGCTCCACTTACCCGGTGCCCAGCCTGTGACTTCCCAAGGAGCACAGCAGAAGCATCCAGGCCATCAAAGCTCCGTCCCGGGGGCAAGGCAGCCCCAGCCAGGGCCAGCACCGTGGGGAAGATGTCCAGCACACTGCAGGAAAAACAAGACAGCACTGGCTCCCTCTGCTCCCAGACTCTTCCTGGCCAAGCTGGGGTCAAGACCCAATGCTACCAGCCCAGACCAAGCCCCTGACCCTGCCACTCCACCTGCCTCCCCTCGGCCTTTCTGGCTTCCCTTCAGCTTCCACCCGCACCTCTGCTCCTTGAGAGGCAGCACCCAGGCTCCGTGGCTGGGTCTCCTGGGTCATCTATGTGACTTCTCAGTCTTGGCTTTCCAGTCTCCAAACCGCGTGTGATAATAACAGTGTCAGCCTCACAGGAGGGTGTGGGCCTCACACACACATAAGTCTCTTGGAAAGTGTTTGGTGCATATCTGCGTTGTGATTACCCCGCAGCCCCTCCACCCTGAGACCCATTGAAGAATTAGGGGTCCTCCCTGCCACGCCACCTCTGAGCAGGAGCAGCGCGTGACAGGTGTCTGCACGAGAAGGTTCCACGCCGCTCTCCCTCCCTGGTGCCGCCAACACCTGGCCTCTGTTGAGACCTCCGTGCCGTGCGAAACATTCTATTCCCTTCAAGGTAGCTGTTTTTTCTATTACAAAATAGTAAATGTTTTGCAGGTTAAAAAATAGAATGTCCAGGAACACAGGAGAACAATGTACCATCCATTACCCTCCGCGGTCATTGGTAATTCGGTAGATTGAGTGATAATGGGTTTGTTTTTCTTTTTAAAGTCATGCTGTGCAGTTTTGTGCTAGAGGGAAGGACACATCTCCCTCCAGTCCGCTGTGTTCACGTCAGGCAAATGTCCTCAAGGAGAACACACAGGCTCCCCTGCCCACAGAGCTGTTAACCTCAGGACAGCTGAGGTCAGTGGGAGCCCAGAGGGTGGGGCCCATGGACCTAAGAGGTCTGGGCACCTCCGCCAGGGGAGGGCCACTCCTGGGGGCCCACTCACCCTCCCCAGGCCTGGGGAGGGCTCGGCCCTCTGCCTCCCTCTCCTCTCCTGGGCTCCCCCTACGACCCCAGCAGGCTCTCTCCTGAATGCACAGAGTGTATCCGGTGGGCCCTCAGCTTCACCGTCCACGTGGCTGGTGGCTTATCTCGGGAGATATGTGCCCGGGAGTGGGCATCCACACTGCGCCATCGAGGAGCACTCGCAGAGCAAGGAACAGTCTGGAAGCCTGTTCAGAACCCAAGGTTCCTGCACAGGCCGGAGGCAGGCAGGACAGCAGAGAGTCCCCGTAGGCCGAGGTGGCCGGGATGTTTGTTGAGCTCTCTCCAAATGGCGTCCCTCAGAGAGTCGGGCATCACGGATGAGTCAAACTGCCCAGCGAGAACAAGAGGCCTGCATCAGACCTGCAGAACTGCAGGCCTTCTTTTTCTGACTTCGTGTTTTCCCGCCACCGCGAGGCTGGGCCTCCTCATCACGGAGCACCACGCCTGACGTTCGCGGGATGCTAGGGTCTCAGAATTTGACAGGGCTCTCACAGTCACCTCGTCCACAGCCTGGACACAGAAAACCTCAAGAGAAAGGTTGCAACACCCGGTGGCCAGGCTGCTCCGGTGGCCCCAGCCAGCACTGGCAGGCTCGGCCGGACACGGCCCCTCCCTGGCTTATGGAGGAAGCCAAGCCCGAGAGGTCGGCCGGGAAGAAGAAAACCCTTCCTGACACATGTCCCAAGGCCGTCCTGGGGCTGGGCCAGGCAAGGGGAGACCTCTGGAAGCTATGGAGACTACCAAAGGGACGCCCGCCCCCCGCTGCGAGCTAAATGCCCCCCCCCCCGAGAAACCGGTCTGGGGGTGTGTGAAATGTGGGAGAAAGTCACCAAAGTCCCCCGTGCACATTCCCAAGTCCCCGCCGTGGATGATGAGGCTGGGGGGCAGCTCCCTGCAGGGCCTGCCTTCAGGGGCCCTCGTTCCATAGAAAATACTAAAAGCTTGTATCTCACTCTACAGAGATGCCACAACCAGGTCAGTCGCACAGACGGATACAGAAAATGTACGTATCAAACCAAGCTCAATTTTCTTCGATCTGAAAGGTCATTTTTAATCCCAGTTTAAAAAAAAATTGAAAGTAAACATTTCACAGGCCCTGTTGCTCTGTCCCCCTGTTCTGACGGAGAGTGGCCTGGTCTTGTGGATGCGAGATGGGCATCCGGGATGGCGGGGCTGCCCCCGAGTGGACAGGGGCACTTTCCGGGGTCACTGGGCAGGGCCTTATCTATTCTTTAGTCTGGCTCGGCCAGCCCAAGGCGCTGAAGGTTGTTCAGACGTGTGCATCTTTGGCTTCTAACCTGAGGAGCAGCGGGTGTGGAGGGCAGAGGCTCGGGGTGGGGGTGGGGCTGCTCACTGCAGGTGCTGGGCTGAAGGCGACATCCCCAAATGGAGAGCCAGGAGCTCCAGACATGAGCTGATGGGCTTGAGGTGGGTGCTGAGCAGTCCTGGGGTGCAGCACATCCGAGGGCAAAGGCAGGGGTAGGGCTGGAGGGTGTTCCCTAGAAACTGGGAACCTGGGGACTTGCGCTCTGGAAAAGGGTGGATGTCATCCAATCACGGGCGCAGCAAGTGTGGGGAAGGAGGGGGCGTCGTGGGCCTGGACAAAACGGCAGGGAGGAAGGAGCAGAACTTCCTCCAGATGGGGGGGCAGGCGGGAACATGCCTAGGAAAGGGGGAGCCTTGAGTTGTGTCTTCCTGCCTTGTAACCCCCTCCCGTTGCGCTGGGAAAGCTGGGTACTGGCCCTCCTTGCTCTAAGCCCTGCGGGGGTTTGAGGGACTGCAGTGTCCCTCTTAAAGGTCAGCAGGTGCCCACAGCACAGCTTTGCAGGGAACATGGGCCCCAGGGCATCGGGGAAGCTCAAGAGCAAGGTGTGCCTGTTTGTTATAGGGCAGAGTGGGGGTGGGGTGAGACCCCCACCCCGGCTTCCCCCACCACTGCCCACTGCCAGATACAGTAAAGGGGTGTGAGGGGGTGTCTTTGAAAGGGATGTGTGGCCAGACCCCATGCAGGGGTGATGCACACAGGACACGAGTGTGAGCAGTACCCCCTGGGTGTTCCTACTGCTCAGACCCTGCAGAACCAGCTGGTCCCCTGCACAGATCCCTCTGGGCATCTGGAGGGCCCCCGCACCCTAGGGGGCCTTGCTTTCCTGGTGACACAGCAGCCTTAGTTGCTCGGATGAGATCATTTCAAGTCCTTACCACCATCTGCTCACCAATAATTGCCCCAGTCACCTCCAAAAGAGGGGCCGTCTGCTCTGAACAGAGCTGGGGGTCTCCCAGCCCCCATGCAGTCCCTTGATTTTTGTGGATCAGCCTAGACAAAGCACATGAAAGCTGGGACCCTCAAGTCTGCCTCCTGGGGGGCACTCAGCTCAGCCTGTAGACGGTTGGGTTGGCACAGCAAGGGATAAAGTGCTATTTGGCATCAGGTGGAGGCCAAGGAGACTACTAAGCCCTCCCACGACACCAAATGACCTGGCCCTCAATGGCACAGGGCCCAGGTTGGGACACCTGCATCAGAATTTTAGGTGCAAACCACCAGGTCATCTGCACAGGTGCTGCCAAGGCCCCACCCCCAACCCCTGAAGGTCACAGCACCATCCTATCAAGCACATTCGGCTGTTGTCCCCAGTCCCCAGCCCTGGGCCTTGGCCCGTGGTTGAGTCCAACGGTAAACGTTTGTTTCCCCATCCTGCAGTTGTGTCACTGGGCTTGGAGGACAGGATGTGTGCAAGACATTTCTGTGAACCGATCACAGCACCTGGGCGCACACCTGAACATTAACCTCTAAGAGGTGGCCAGTGGCACAGGTGTGGACCTTCTCCTCTGCTCTACATGAACTCATTCACATGGGGAAATAGCAAGATGGCGAATTATAATGACACCCCACCCCCATCCTGCTATAATCAAGACAACATAATGCCCAACATTACCCCCAGTGGGGCTGATGGGGTGTCTGTGTGATGTCCTGGTGAAATCCCAGGGGTCCTTAAGCAAGTGTGACCTTGTACCAAGGCTGGTCCCTTCGGTCACCAGACTGTCTCCTACGTCAGTGGCCACCTCTGAGGCCCCTGAATCATCAAGACACCTCAGGGTAGTCTGGGTCTCCTACCTTAAGAGGGCGGTGCTGGTGACATTGCTGGGGACCTTGCCAGGCCAGTAAGCCAGAGCTGGGACCCGGTGCCCGCCTTCCCAGGTGGTCTGCTTGGCTGAACTTCCCCCTGTAAGAAGAGGCGGACAGCTGGTTCTTTGAGGGTAGTAACTCTGGACTTCCTTCATCTGAGAACTATTATCTGGAGCAACATTTCCATTCTACAAGGACTCTCTGGAAGTTTCTGCTAATTTCAACAAGGAATGACTTTTTGAGTAACCAGCTTACTATCTTTTAACCCGAGTTTTCATTATCCTGGGCTCCACATCTGGAAATACTTCTCTTGGTCACTCTCTTGGAATCAAATCACTTACCTTCTTCAGGACCCTTTAAATGGCCTGTCAGCTGACGTCCTTTTTGTACATCTCCCCGCAGGGAGACCTGTGCTCCCAGACATACTAGATGCTTAACAAAAATGTCAAATAAATGAATTTGTCTTCCTATTTATCATAATGTAATTGTCTGTTCGGGATGAAAAATGTACAATTTTTAGAACAGAGAGACAGGCAGCAGCTTCCCCAGCTACTTGATGGCCCAGCACCCAACGAGCGAGCCCGCGCGGATTTTCTTGTATCTTGTTTTGCTTTAGTTGCTCTGTTTTGGTTTCCTTGAATGAATGAGTTGTTCTGACGTTGTGAAACAGGGTTAGTAATAGCTCCCCACCTCCTGCCTCTTGTGGGGAGGTAAGAGCAATCTTTTACCCTCTATTTATTTCCACGTTGCTAATTAAAAGAATTGTTTTTATACCCACTTAGCCAAAAGCGACCACCAATTATAATGATGACCAGCAGGCGAGCAGCGATGAGGTCATGTTCCATGGAAACACTGCACTGAATTAACCGTGACCACCCTCCCACACGCGCCCCACCCTCGTGCTCACTGAGACCACGATCCTCAGGCTTAGCGTGTAAAAAGCCCTTCCAAGGCGCACGTCGCATGTGGCTCACGCATACCCTGGTCATGCAACGCTTCCACATTTGGCTGGCGCGAGCGTGAAAGCAGCGATGGCCGGGGGAGGGGCCCCGTGGCCCGGGCGTCTGTCCCTCTGCGCTCACACTGAACAAACGGGACCTTTGATGTCCCTGGCCAGCACACCCCACCGGAAATGCTCAGCATTCTTGAGATTTTCTCAGAACTGGCTTTGGAGTCCCCCAAGTGTTGGAGTAAGAAACAAGACACAAAAACAACTCCCTCACGTCCAAATGGACAGTCAACGTGTTGGGGTATGGGGCTCCCCAAGCCAGGTGGGGCAGTGCAGGCTGAATTGGAAGCCCTTTGACCTTGGCCTGGGGGTTCTCAAATGTGTGCTTTCCGGGGAGACCCACGCCCCCCATAAACCACACACATGGGACAGAGGATCCAGGAATGTGGCAGCATAAAAGCAGCCCCACGTGGCTTTGGAATGCATGACTTCAGCTTCAGCTCGGGCCAAGGAGCAGGGAGGAAGCATCCGAGATCGCATGTGGCGGGCGGCAGAGCACTCCATGCTGCGAGGGGCATGCGCGTGAAAGTTGGGGGGATAGGCAGGTGACATATGGTGCCCATCTAAGTGTGCATCCATGTGCACAAGATGCAAATGGACTTGCTTAGCCTTTGAGGTCAGATGTTAAGAAAAGGTGAAGGCTTCAGTTCCAAGCAACAAGCCATTAGCTCTGGCGGTGAAGTAGGCTCTGGTCACGACTGAGCACTGGGCAGTGGGCACCAGAATTGGAGCGGGATTTGATCTCTGCTCTTTGGTTTTCACCACTTGGGATCCCCCGGTTTACCTTGACCATTTGTTTTCAGGCGATGACTTTCCTGATGGAGAAAAGTACTTCTATGTGTTTGCTTTGTTTCAGCACAGGGTTGGCTGCGGGAAGGGTCAGGAAGACCCCAGCCAGTCACACGAGGCATATGTCAACAGAGAGGAGAGCCCCCATGCCAAGATTCAGAAAGTAAGAGGAAGAGAGAGAAAGGTTGGCGGAAAGAAACCCCTGGAGGTGGCCAGCTGGGAGGCAAACCCCTCCAGGCAGTGAAGACTGATCAACTAGTAGGGATGCACTTTGGGTCCTGGCTTTAGAAAAAGACAGAATTAGATATTTCAGCCACAGTCCTGGTACTCTAAGGAATTCATCTTAAAGGAATCCAGAGTTTGGACAGGCAATCATACATATGTATGTCAAACACACACACACAAACACACACAAACACACACCCCTAAATCCCAGTATCTCACTGGCACTGCAGGGATGGACAAAGTTAGATCTTTCTAGCCTTCTCTGTGGGTCCCTAAGGTGGTAAGTCCCTGTTATCATAGGCATCTAACAGTGTCTGCGGAGTTTATCTGTATTAGCAAAGGCTGAATTCCAGGACAGCTGCCCCTGGTTCCCCAACACGCTTCAGGGATACCTGCTCCTAATGGAACCTCAATCCTAGTTCAGTACTGTGATAACAGCAACAATAATCTCCTCTACTTACTGAGCCCTTCTAAGCCCCCAGTGATGCTTCCTAAGCATCGAGCTCAGTACTTCCCTGTATTACCTCATGTAATTCTTATGACAAACTTTCAAGTGAGATACTGTGATCTTCATTTTTCAGAAGTTCAGAGAGGCTAAAAAATTTGCCCAGGTCACACAGCTGGCAAATGGTAACACCAGGATTTGAATCCAGGTCTAACTACAGGACCCATCATACCCTCTGGGACTGTGGTTCTCATTCCTGAATACATTTTAAAGTCACTAAGAGGGCTTTTTAAAAATACCTACACTGGGCCTCCCTGGTGACGCAAGGGGTTAAGATGCAACCCATAAAGCTATCCGCAGCCACTGCAGCACAAGTTCAATCCCTGCCCCGCCAGGGAGCTACCCACAGAGTAGCAGACCTCTCCTGCTCTCCCGCTGCTCCCCTCAGCAGTGTATTTCAGTCAGTCTGCCTGTTCTGCTCCCACTCAGTCTCTGGTGAATCCTCTCACCCTCCCCCGCAACCCCCACCACACCTCTGGCCTGTACCCCAGCTCTTGTATGTATAAATAAATCTTTAAAAAAAAAATTAAAATACTGACACTGATGCCCCGTTTCCAGAGACTGAATTCTCTGTCCTGGGTGGACCTGGATACCCATATTTTCTAAGCTCTTCTGGGGATTTAATGTAAGGATCACCATTCTGGGGGATGGAGAGTAAGGGGCAAGATCTGACAGTGGACAAAATGCATTTCAAAACTCACTATAGCACCTGTGCTTTTTAACCCCAGATTTCAGATTGCCTAGATTTTTATACCTGTATGCCATAGGATCATAAATGTGACTCACAGGACTTAAATAAAACCAACAGATAATCTATAAATTAAACTTTATGCACTTTAGATTGCAAAAGCTCTTGGTTAGTTTAGATAAATCGTAATACTTTGCTCGGTGACCTGGCACGGTGGAAGTGTTGGTTGCCTTTGACTTTTTGCTGGGAAATGCAAGCTTATGGTCATGAGAACGCATTTCGATGCACTTGTAGTTAGTTATGACTCTAATTAAGGCAGAACCTCTTACTTAAAGCAATAAATATTTAGCCTCAGCAACCACAATATAAACAGAACCATGATTCATGAAGTTGCTTACTTGATCTTCCCTGGCTACGAAGTGAAATGCCATTCCGTGTGCCTGGAGCCGGGCCGCCGGAGGACTCACCACAGCCTACGCTGGGAACTAGCAGCCTCTCCCAGAAAGGCCCCAAATGCCATGTTTCACTGAGTCACAAAGCAGCGGGGCTAGCCCGGAGGTTTGGAAACTTCCCAGTCCAGGAGAGCCCCCCGGGGGTGGGGTTCTCATTCTAGTGATCCTGAGGCCAGCGGTCTGAAGACCAGAGCAGAAATAGCAAGGTAGGTGGGCGGGACGCCCCTGGAGGCCGGCAGGTCTCGCCCTTACTCCAGGGCCACACTCTCCTCCTGGGGCCGTGGGCGGCCTGCGTGACTCCTCCAGCCACCTCTGAGGGGATGTGGTTACACTGATCTCAGAGTGGTGGGAAATGTGCAGAAGGTCCTGCGTGCGGTTCTGCCCCACACAAATACACTAAAACTAAACAAAATCACCTGCAGAGAGAAAATGGCGGAAGTTGCTACCTGGAAACTCCCACGCTGAATCCAGCCTCTAGCAGTCAGATTTGATCTGCACCGTCCTTGCTTTGAATACTTGTGGCTAGGACCGAATGTCATTAGACAGGGCCCGCTCTGCAGTTAACCAAGTCCCTGACGCTGCCCACAGCTCACGGAAACCAACATCAGGCCATTCCTGTTACCTGCCTGGCCCGCCAGAGCCTGTGCAACTGTGGCTCGGTTACAGCGTGCCTGTCCTGAGTGCACATTCTATAACCTTCTAGAGAAGCAGGCTGTGTTGCTAAATATAAATACGTGCCCTTGCCAAGGATGCCCGTGGCACACTAGTTTTCTAGAAACACCAGGCAGCCAGGCTCGCTTGGATGGCGACTCAGCTGGCCCAGGTTGGCCTTGAGGGTAGTGATGGGGACCTTCCAAGGCCGATGGTCAAAGGTCACCAGGACACACAGTTCCATGTCCACTGGATCCCCCCCAGCTGGCGCTGCCCCAACACTCCTTGACACCGTTCCCTCACCCAGGCACACCTCTGACCTCTCTGTGTTCCACCCTCATCTCCAAACTGGAGGAAGGCCCAGGATCCAGAGCGGCTTCCTAGTGGGAAAGGTTATGCAACGACCTGATAGCATCAAATTACAAACAACCAAGGTCTCCTAGAAGCCGAGGATGCCAAGTGCAACAGAATGTTTCCTCATCACCAAGGGGGAGGAAGGAACAGCTCTGCTCTTCAAATAAAACAAGAAAAGCTTTTCCAGACAAGAGAGCAGCCAGGAGGGGACAAACAAGGTGTTGGTTGTGTGCTGAGCAGGAAACAGGTCTGGGCGGGGCAGGACGGGGCGGCTGCTCGCAGCCAGGCCCTGCCGCTGCGCTGTGTCTGCGGTGGGCATGCACCTCGTGCCCTCTGTCTGGGGGACAGCTCTGCTTTGCCCCCCAGCCCCCAGTTCAGTTTCTCCTCATCCCTGCAGGGTGCCAGCCCAGCCCAGAGGAGCATCCTCACGCGCACGGTGCAGGGGGGTGGGGGAGGAGATGAATCCAGGAGACGCTGCCTCATCCCCTCAGCTGAGCAGGGCAGCTTGGCCAGGAAAGGAAAAGGAAGACAAGGCGGGGGGCCGGGGGCCGGGCAGCAGGGAAGGCAGCGCGTGGCCTGACGTAGCGTGCTGGCTGCCGGGAGAAAGCAAGCAGGGCTCTGTGGACTGTTTGTCCTGCCCCGTTGCGACAACAGGACTGTCTTCTCTTTCATCTGCTCTGGAGACTGGCCCCTTCAGAGCAAGACCTGCGGGGGTCCCACCAATGAGGATGCTGGGTGAGGGGGAGCAGGGGGCCCACAGGGACCCCCAGCCACCATGACCTGAGCCCCTGCCCTACTCCTGCCACACATGACTTGGCCTGGCCGCCGGGAACCCCAGCAGCCCCCGCAGCAGGGGGGAGGGAGAGGCTGTGGGAGAGCTGAGGGCAGGTGGTGTGGAGCTTGAGGAAGGGGAATGTTCACCCCCAGGCACAGCGTCCCTGAGCAAAGAGGAGCGTGGCCGCCAGCCCGCGCCCAGCTCGGGTCCAAGCGCGGAGACCCAAGCCGCGTGGAGATGCCAGCCCAGCCTTGGCCTCCAAAGCCTCCAGCCCTCTCCTCCTCCCTGCTCTGCCCCCCACAGATTGAGCCCATCCAGACTGTCACAGGGGCTAAAGGCATTTTCCTTGACAGCCGTGAGGCCTGTGGAAGCAAGACTGAACTCTCCAGATGGCAGGGCAGGTTGTGGGGCAGAGCAGAAGCGAGCAATGCCTGGCAGGTGGGGCAAGGAATGAGCGAAGGTGGTCGGACAATTGCCAGTCGCTGGGGAGAGTCCTCCGCCCTGTTCAGCCTCAGTTTCCCTAACAGGGAGACTTAAGATGGCGGGACCCCTCCTGCTGGCCTCAGGCAGGGAGATCCCTAGAGATGTGTCATTTGCTTTTTTCATTTATCATCTGGGGCTCTGCACAAATGTCTAGTCTTTGCCCCCCCAACCTCACTCTCAGCCCCACAGACATGAGGACGCTGCCGGGAGGTCTGGGTAAGCGGGTGCTAATGGTTGAAGTCTGTGGGGTTTTTTCTTGGGGTGATGAAATGTTTGGAGACTCGACAGAGGTGACTGCCGCACAGCACAAGTGTGTCACACGCACCGAATGGGCCAGGTTAAAATGGTCAGTTTTACATTACCTGAATTACACCTTAATTTAAAAAATTAAGTATGACATCTGCAGTCTTAACCCCCTTCCACGATCGCACACGCTTCTTCAGGATAAAGGCCAAAACCCTGGCCCTGAACGAAAGGTCCTTCCACCGCTGGCCCCGGCCTTCCCCCCGCCCCGCGCCCAGCTGTCCCTCCACCCCAGACACAGACAGCTGGGCAGCTGCTGCTGTCTGGTCTCCGCCCACTCGCCCGGGCTGCCCAGAGCGCCCTCCCCTGAGACCCAGCCCGTCTCCTACTCATCTTCAAAACTCAGTCCACTTGGGAAGCTTTTCTGTCTGTACTGTAGTCCTGCCCTGAGTTACGATGACCTCCCTAAGTCTCTGGCCCCTGCACGGTCCAACAGAACCGCTACCAGGATGGAAACGGTCTTTCTGTAGCTTCATGACCCAACGTGACCACCATTTGCCCATTGTGTGCTGCCGAGCCCTGGAAGCAATGCTAGTGCCACTGGGCACTGATTTTAATTTAAACGCACATGGCCACAGGTGGCTAGTGCCTGGCACAGGACGGGGTAACCCAGAGCGGCGGTTCTCAAAGTTGAACCCACATCCAAGTCACTGGCAGGTCTTGTGGGAGCCAGGCCCAGGGGTTCTGATGACGAGGGCAGGGCGAGGCCCTGAGCCTGCACTGCTAACAGCCCTCACTGCTGAGGTCGCGGATTCTAGGCCCACACCTTGATAAGCGCTGGTCTAGATTGGAAAGTCCGAGGCTCAGCTGGCTCCAGACTCATAGTCTAGATATTCTAGATCTGTGGTTCTCAAAGTGGGGTCCCTGGCCCAAGCACATCTTGTTAGAAATGCACTGTCTCCCTCGCCATCCTGGACCTGCTGGATCAGAACTGCCTTTTAGCAGGATCTGCAGGAAACTGCTAGAATCCCTGAGAAACACTGCTCTAGACTTCAGGCCTGAAGGCCAAGTCTCCACTGATTAATTCCCCAGCACTGAGCACAGTTCCTGGCACATAGTAGGTGCTCAACAAACTGTAAGACAGGAGTGGAGGAGGTTGCCCAGCCAGGGAATGTATTTCTTAGTGGGTAAAGTTCTTCCCACGAAGAACTGGGCACCAGACCACATCTTAAATTTGGAAGCAATGTTTCAAAACTACCTTATAAGGAGGTGGGGGGAGAGACAAGTTAAGGTAGATCCTCATATAGGCCATCAGCAGTCACCTTCTTAGGGAACAAAGTGCCCTCCACCACGGAGCAGTCAGCTACTAACAGAACTTTACCCCCATCCTCTGTCTCCATGCCTTCCGGACTTTTAGCACCCTCAAGAGTGCTAAGTCCTGGCTCTTCCAGGCTTCCCAACTGAGCATTGAAGATGGCAGTTGGGGCCAAGGGTGCCCTAGGTCCAGAGCGGAGGAATTATATAATCAGCTCATACAAAAAACCACTGCCTGCTTATTCTGTATTTTGCTAGGTTCCTGCAGCAGATAGGAACTCCAGTCCTAGCACCCTTCCTTGGTCCAGCTCTCCAGAAGCCAGGAAGAAATTGCAGCATCATTCTTGAACTTGAAAGCAGGGGAGAGAGAGAGAGAGAGAGAGAGAGAGAGAAACTCCAGCACCTTAGTAGATGAAGATGAAGCAGTGTAGTCATTGAGCAGGTTAGGGGGAGGTGGCACCCAGTTTTCCTTGAATCTCCAGACACAAGTCACAGCCACAGTCCCAACACCACTGACTTGTAAGGTTTTCGAGGACTCAGCTCCAGGGATACCAGGTTAAAGTTGACAAATGAAAATGAAGGTCCAGCCCTTCTCGCCACCACCGATAGGATGCGCGAATGTTCCAGTTTCTAAGTAACTACAATATCCTGCCAGATTAACACGAACAACTGACCTGGGGACCCCTGTCTAGGGAATAATCTGGTCCAGCCCACCCTGAGCCCCTTGGACACAAGCTCCTTCTAAAAACTTTAAATCTTTTTAGGATGCAAAAATTACCATTTGTTGTGGGAAAAATCACATTTAAATCCTTTCTCCCCTATCCAGACAGTGTTAGGGGGAAAAGGATGTCCCAAAGCTAATTCCATACAGGCTTTGTGGACTCCACTCCCACCCCAGGTCAAAGCCAAAGACACTGGGAACTCCAAATCCCATCACCACCAAAGGGAAGGTGGCTGGGACCTGAGGGTGGGGTTAAGCAGCCAGGTGGATACAAAAGGCAGACACGTGGGCTTTGGGGGTCTCTCCATTTTTTGAGCTCTTGGCCAGCAGCAGCGTCCGGCCAGCTCTGAGAGTGACTTTGGGTTTCCAGGTCGTCGGATCGGGTAGGACGCATTAAAGACTTTATTTCCCTATTTTCTCCCTGAGTTGTACATTTTCCTTATTTCTTTTTCTCTTGTAAATAAACCTTTTATGAACCCTTTTGCATGTGTCTGTAGTGGAGTATTCATAAGTCCCTTTAAAGCGCGCGGGTGAGGACCCACAGCCAGGAACCCGTTTAATATCGGGGTTGCTCTATAACAACAGCACTACAGCTAATCTTTGCACCTTGTATGGGCTCGTTCAAGAATTTCCCAAGAACACATATGCTTGTTTATATACAATACAATTATACCTTACATATTATTTTTGTAATCTGCTTTATTCACTGCAAATTATGTAATGGAAATGTTCCCGAGTTAACAATATGAGCCATTTCACTGGTGGCTTAGTATTTCTTTAAATGAATAGAACATGATTTCTTTAAGCACTTGCTAAACACGTAGGTCATGTCCAACTATTTTTTAAAAATCCACTGCAACACCCATTCTTTCACATGCATCATGGAGCACTTGACTGATAGTTCTTTAAGACCAATTCTTTGAGGAGAAATTGGATAATCAATAGCTTTGACATCATGTTTCAGGCTTTGGCGACACTGCCAAATTGTCCCTCGTATAACGGTCCTCTCAGAAAGTGAGGTCCTCGCGGGTCACTGTCCCAGAGCAGATGGGCTGGGAGCTGAAGGACAATTCAGCAGAGAGAGGCAGTATGGTGCATTGGGAAGAACTAGGTAGCAAGTTTGGCTTCCTCCTCATATGCTGTGTGCCCTTGGGCAAGTGACTTAGTCTCTCTGAGGGGCTCTCTCTCTCTTTGTCTGCAAAAAGGAATGATTACCATCTACTTATCACTATTGTAAGGTCTAGAGATAATATTGTAGAAACCTTGCCTATTTGTACGTTAAAGATTTCTTGAATGAATGAGATGCATTAATGGTTGGGTGGATGGAAGGGTCTCAAAAAACAAGGGGGAAACCCCAGAAGGAAGGAGAGAGAGGATGGGCAGCAGGATAAAGGCAAAGGAAAAGCATATGTATTGGAAGGTCCATGGATGAACTGGCCAGATGGGAGAAGGCTGGTCCCCAGAGGGGAGCCCTGGGGTATAAGACAAGAAGGGGTGGTCTGGGCTGAGCAGAAGCTGGCTCTGTCGCTATTTGTTTCTCTTCTGTGGTGGCTGGTGGGCGACATGTCCTACTTCACTGAAGTCCGAAGGCCTGGGTATAAGTTGGTTCTCCCAGAGGCAGACCCTCACGCCCAGCACCCCGCCAACTCCAGCTGAGCCCCCTACCTTGATGAGTTTGCCATGATCCAGAGAAGGGGCCCACGCTGCCCGCCAGCTCACACTTCTGTGCCCAGGGGCCATTGTCTCCTAGGAGCCAAAGCAAGCAACATGTTGTGTGGTCAGCAGGTTGGTGGACACCATCCCCAGTGCTCCCCCTCTGGCCCCACATCTCCGTGCACAGCAGGGGACTGGATAGCAGGTGCACTTGGGGGAGCAAATATGAACCCTTCCCTCAAAAGCGCCAATGGGTTTTCAGAGGCGGGGGTTTTCCCTACCCACCCTCACTAGCCCTCCTGGGGGTCTTGCCTTATACACTCTGCTCTTTTGTAGCTTTAGCCGCCCCAGGCCCCCATCATCAATGCCTCAGCCATGCATCGCGGCCCTGGGGAGCACCCAGGCTTTCCACTCAATATCCCATAAGCTCCAACACGCTGCAGAGTAGATGCTCCTACTTGTTCAAGTTTTGCACTTGCAGAAATAGCCTTAAAGAGGCTAAAGCAACTTTCCCAATAGTGTAGGCTCAAGCCCAGGTCTCCGCCTGACCCGTCCCCCTCATTCTACACAGGGACCGAGGACCCGGGATGTTCATGTAGACCCTGCAGGGCTCACCAGCCAAGGTCCACTCCACTGAGGTGGCCTGGTGCCCAGGGGCAGCCAGTGCCCTGGGAACCAGGGGGGAGGGTAAAGTGGGACTGTCAGACCCACTACAAAGGCTCACAATGCCAAAGCCATTCGTTAACAATTAGGAGCAACATCCAGATGGACTTGATCATTACACAGGGGCTGTGGGCACCTGCTGTCTCTGTGCAACCTTTCCAGGGGCTCAGCCTTGGAGGCCCCAGAGGATGGGGTGGTTTTCAGCATTCAAGCCAACAAACACCAGCAGGGACTCCAGTTCCAAGAACCCCCATCCCATCCATGAGGGTCACTGGACGAGACTCGGCTGCTGAGGGCGGCACAGGGTTACCCATTAGGTCTCAGGGAAGTCGGCTGGGTTTTATCCCTCACCTGCGAACCAGAGGAAGGTGTTTCCTTTTGCTATGTGGTCAACTTTGTCCTTGATCTGGCTGACCAGGGTGTCCATCTCCCGGAGACTTGCACGGTAGGGCGTGGCACCCCGGGGGTCTGCTGACCGCTGCTGGGTCTTGGACAAGGGCACGTGCATGTGGGCCAAGCCCATGTACAGCAGGAAGGGCCTTCCGCTGGCGCTGTGGGAGGAGACTAAGAATGACCCCCAGAACACTCTCTTGCCTCAGAAGACACAGGGTGAGGGGGGAACTCAGATTTGCACAAAGTGGTGATAGAGAGGCCCAGAGACCTGGCTTTTAAACACACCCAGTATCCCGTGCCCACCCTGATTAGCACAACCCCACCAGGAGCTGCCTGAGCCCCCACAGCCTCAGCTCTGCATCAAGGTGCACCTGGAGCCCCCTCCCCGAATCCCAATGCCCGGGTCCCCAGACTAGAACCGCAACTGCACTCAGCTCCCTGGACATGCAACCCAGGACACAAGTGCCAGGGCAGGTGCCTCTGCTGTCCCCACGATCAACAGTGTCTCGCAACGGTTCTAGAGTTGTCTCGTGCAAGCAGTCGCTCTGAGTTGTGAGTCTGCTGGACTTAAACTGAAATTGAATGTCCTATCACCTTAAAGAACATAAAAGCATGTGTTTATGTGTCATCGTCTCGTCTGAAGAGATGACAGCAGACGGCCAGACAGCGCGACGAGTCCATTCTGGACATGTTTGTGGACCAGCTGGAGAGACCCATTCAGACTAGCAGGAGGGTTACTCGTGGGCTGTGGCATCGGGGTGATTTTATTTTCTGCTTGCTTATTTGTTTTTGGAGATTTCTAAAGAGAACACACGCTGTTTGTGCGGCAAAGCGAGTGGAGAGGTAAGCAGAAAAAAATAAGAAGACCTCCAGAAAAGAGGACAGGGCAGGGCAGGGAGAGGCACTGAACTCTGGGGCCCATGAACTCGACCGTCCGCGGGAAAATGCCTGCCCTGAAGCAGAAAATGGCAGGCGAGGGGCAGCTGCCTCTCTTGAGTGGTCCCCAGCGGTGCCCAGCTGGAGAGCGTCAGCCTGGAGGTGAGACAGGGCATCCGTCCAGCAGGGAGGAGTGGACACCTGCCCAGGTGGCTCCCAGCCCTCTGGGCGCTCCAGCACGACCCCCTGGGGTCGAGGGACTAAGGGTCTGTCTGGAATGACCGGTTACGGGAACACTCACCCCCTCCTATTTCACTATCTCCCTCTCAGCCTCTGTGTTACAGACAACCTTCTGGAACCCCGACTTGATTCATAGCTCCCTATTTTGAAACCCACTGAGCCAGTTGGGAGAGTCCAAACCTCACCGCCCAGCACGGAGACCTCCCCTGGCCTTGGGGACTCCCACATGCACGCGTCCCAGACGCCTGGCCCTTCTGCCTTCCGTGCCTGGCCCACGTTAGTCCTCTCCCTCAGAACCTCCCAGGCGTTGTGCTAAGAACACTTAGCCCATTCATAAGACCCGGCTCAAAAGTCCCCAACACTCCTACTCTGCCCCCAGGTCGTGGGTGGCTTAGTCCTTGACACTTCCCCACACCCACACTCTGATGGCATTGATGGGTGTTGACAATACGACCTGGTCAAAACTGGCTTTTAACATATCTGTTCCCCACTGGCCTGGGAGCTACTCCAAAGCAGGGCAGATGGAATTCTGTTTCTATTCCTCGCACGACACCAGCACCTCTCTGGGGCTACACTCATTCCATGACTATTGATGAAGCTCTAACTAGGCCCCAGGTCCTGGGGACAGAGCAGCGGCCGTGATGGAGATGATTCCACCTTCCTGGAATTGAACAGCTCATTGGAAACAGGAGAAAAATGCAACTAAAAATTAATCCCATCATTATTTACAAATTTTGTAGGCGTAATGGAGGAGCAATACAGGGTGTTGTGGGAGAGCAAAATGGGGCCAAAGAGGGTTTGGGGCGAGACAGGAGGGATCCCAAGAACAGCAGGATGAGGGGTAGCAGGTGGGCTGTGGGGGTGTCCACTCAGACAGAACATCCTCAGGAAGAAGACACAGGCAGAAGCGTAAGGTCCCAGGCCCTCACTCTACAAGGGGTCGTTCAGCTGCTCACGCTGCATCCATCCAGCGTCCAAACCAGAACAGGAATGTCAGGGCAGGTAGTGAGCAAGACCACACCCAGAGCCCTGATGCAGGTAAGGATGGGGGTGTGGGGTAGGAGCTGGATGAGGGGGCTGAGGGGCATCAATGCAGGGAGAGGGTGGAGGCAGGAACAAGAGGGAGGTAGCCCCGCTGATGTCGGGGGGGCCGTGCAGACTGGGGCTCCTTAGTCACCTGAGCCTCTCTGGGGCCTCGTCCTAACTCTTGAATATTGATCACACCCTGGATGCCCCCACACGGCTCTGATTTCAAATATCCCAAACTCACACTTTGCCCCAAATGCTCCCCCTTGACCCCCATGGATGCTCAGGGCACAGCCCCAGCACCTGGAAGGAGCCAGGGCTGGATAATGTGACCCGGGGCCATGCCATCTGCTGGCTCCCTTTTTGCCAACTCAGAGCTTTGTCTGCAGCTTAAATAACCCCAATCGAGGATTAGCTTTCAGCGTCAATGCTGGATTAAGGGTCTAAATACAAGAAAAGACGGAAGCAAAAACTTTCCAAGAAGTCCTAGGGGAGGGCTCTTGCCCCAGGGAAATGGAAACCACCCGCCGGGACCCCTGGTAGTTCTGGCAAACAGGTCCAGGCGGCGGGTGGGAGGGGGAGGAGGAGCAAGGAGTCAAGGAGTCGGGGTGGGGCTGGGGGTGGTGGTGAGGGGGGTCGTTTCTGCTGACGCTGCGAATACCATGGCTGAATTGGCAAGTGAAATCCTAAAGAAATCAGCATGCCTGAGCATTGTTTTCTATCAAGTTAAAAGCCACAGGATTCATGTGACTATTCACTTAATAGCTAATTAATAAAGTAGCAAGCAGCTCACGCTTTTCATGTGATAAGGAGACTGTTCCCTGAAGTATTTGTTTTTATGGCACCAGGTCTGTCCACTTCGGAGGGGTATGAAAGAGTCCCAGCCTCAGCCGCTGCCATCACCCCCCACCCCCAAGAACCCGTGCTGTTCCAGAAATTGCAAACACAGGGTGGACAGTTCACACCAGCAACAAAGCATCCACCTGGCCTAGGGGCCAAGGCCCTAAAACCATCTGGAAGCCCTTGGCAGCAGAGAAGTGCTCAGCTCTCCAGAAGGGCTGAGTGCTGTCTGTGAGTCACCAGAAAATAAACCTGTTTCTCAGAAAGCCCTGGAAACTGGTAAGATGCCACCTGAAGACTGAAACATCATAAATGAATCTCCTACACGCTGCTTGGCCTCCCCTGCTGACCTCCTTTCTCGAGCAGTCCAACGTGAGTGGTTGGGAGGCTCCCTGCTCCCTCAAGGGGTCCGCTGTCTGCAGACAGAAGTGCCCATTTTTAATTGGCACCAGCAGGCTGATGCACAGCATCCTTTCTTATGTCCACGGAGGCTACTATTGCAGAACTATTGAAGGAAAACAACAGGAAATTCTTCCACTGTCCTTGAATTTGCCAACTCGGGGTCATGCAAGGGCAGCTGGGATGGGGCAGGACAGGTGGGTAAGGTGACAGGATGGGCGATTGGGGGTGAATACACTTGTGTGTGCATGTCCTTGCACGCTGACACATGTGCACCTGATGAGTGTGTGCGATGGCCATTGCCTACTGCTTCACAATATCCACTCTCGGCCTTGACCTGACCAAGAGGCTGAGCCCAGCAGCCCACAGACCTACACGTGCCATGTAGGTTAGAGACACCCCATGGGCTGGCTGTGTTCTGCTTCTGTCATGTCTAATATTCAATTATTCAATTAGTCTAATATTTAAATATCAAGAGATTTCACTCAAGGGCTGGGTGCCCTGTCTCTTGAGAAATGGAAAGAAGATTCCCCTCCCCACAAGCACCAGGCAATGGGAGTCTCAGTCCCGCACAGGGGACAAGTGTCTTCAAGTTCTCCATAGGCCCCACCATTCCCTAACGCCTTATCTGTGCCTGCTTCCCTCTTTAAGGTCACCTACCTGGGCAGCTCTTTGCCCCTTTGTATCTATGCAAATGTCTTTTTCCTTAATCACTTCCCCCCACCAAAAATAATAATAATCAGTTTACCTACCTGGACCCTGCAATGCTGGGGGTTCAACCCAGGGCTGTGAACCCTTTGGAGTTATAATGTCCCAACGGATGTCCCAGGTCTAATCCCATGAGTGTTGCCTTCTATGGCAAAAGGGTCTTTTTTTTTTTTTTTAAAGATTTATTTATTTATGCATACAAGAGCTGGGGTACAGGCCAGAGATGTGGGGGTGGTGAGAGGCTTCACCAGACAGAGTGGGGAGCAGAACAGGCAGACTGACTGAAATACACTGCTGAGGGGAGCAGCAGGAAAGACAGGAGAGGTCTGCTGCGCCATGTGGGTTGCTCCCTGGTGGCCCAGGGATCGAACTCGTGCTGCAGAGGCTGCGGATTGCTTCATAGTGCAGTGCTTAACCCCTTGCGCCACCAGGGAGGCCCCACATGGCAAAAGGGTCTTTGTAGATAAAATTATTCCAAGGATCTAGAGATAGGGAGATTATCTTGGGCTCTTGGACCCTGAAGGTAATCCCACATGATCTTGTGGGAGGGAGAGAGAAGGCATCTAACTGCAGAGGAGCAGCCAATGGCCCAGCAGGAGGAGAGATGAGAATCACACGGCCACAGCCAAGGCAGACCAGCAGCTTCCAGAAGCTGGAAGAGGCAGAAAGATCCCTCCTTCCTACCCCACCCTTGGCCTCCAGAAGGAAATGCCCTGCAGACACCTGGATTTCAGCCCTTGGCACTTATCTCTGACCACTGGCTTCCACAACTGAGGATACTTCATTGTTTTAGCAAATAAGGTGGTGGTAGGTTCGTTCCAGCAGCAAGAAGAAACACACCCCCCTTTCACCCGAGGAGTCCACAGTGGGCAGGCAGTGGGCCCAGCATCTGGGGGCCGGGGGGCCCTTACCTGGCATGCTGGATGAACTGGGTAGCTTTCTCGGTGTACTTCTGGGCGAGGCCACTCAGGTTCACAGGCTGCTCCACGATGTTGAGGTTTTCGTACAGAGGGAGGCCCACGTCGGTGTAACAGTCCCTCCTGGGGCTCCTGGGTGGAGACCGCAGACAGGAGAGCGTTCATTTCTCCCACCCGAGTGGTCTCAGAGCAGAACAGAACATCCCGATGCAGCCATGCACGTAAATAAAATCCCCAGAAGCCTGACCCCAAGCGGCTTCCATGGCTTTCCCAGTCTGCCGTCTCCCCAAGGGTCGAACCCGCGTCAACTTCCTTCCGCTCCACATGCCCGTGTGCCCTGACTCGCTGACCCACGAAGACAGGACTGCTTCCCTTTTGCTGGCAGAGAAATTGAGGTCTAAACAGACTAACTTGTTTCAGCAGAGTCTCCAGCCCATCCCCGGCTCACCCCTGGCCTTCTCCACTGTCCTCCCTAAAATTAAGGGAGGGGTTCTGGGCGGGAGACACTGCCTCGTGTGTCCCTGAGCCAACAATTCCATGGGACATGACCTCTGATGACAGGGCAGGTGGCCAGGGAGACAATTTTAAAAATTTAAACCACGTTTGGAGAATGGGAGAAACTTTAGCAACTGGCATGAGTGGGGTCAAACCCATAATGTCTCCTGGAAAAAGCAAACTCAGCCCTTGGCCGGAGGGCGCAGATTGAATCTGACGCACGGCCGTCCCGTCAGTGTGGCTAAGCAGGCGCTGGCTGTGATGGTGCCTTTCCTTACCAGACGCAGGGGTTGCCCAGGCGACCTTCCAGAGGCACTGGGAGGGCTAAACCAGAGAACAAATGGTCTGTGTTTTGCACAAGGGTCACCATCCTGGGGACTCGGTCATCACTCCGTGCGGGTTACCACAGAGAGCCCAGAGACAGAGCCCAGAAGCGGAGCCCAGAATGATGCGGAGACAAATGGGGACAGAAGGGGGGTCACCAAGGGCTCTCAGAGAAATTGTCCTACACACAGGAGAGGAGTTGGGAGAAACGAAAACTCCCCATGGTGCTTCTAAGCACACAGCTCTGAGGGAACCTTCGGAGACAAGATCAGATTGGGATAGAGAAACACCCAGGACTGCAGCTTGATGGGAAGCGCCCACTCTGTCCCGTGCACAGCGGCGCTGGTCTCATGATTCATGTCCAGTCATTCAGCCTTTCATGCTCATTGCAACTCCACCACCATCTGCACCCCCGCCCGCTGCCGTCAGCCAGCCTTTCTCTTCTACTGGATTTCTTATGGGTTCAACAGGGAGTGGATGACGTACATCACACCTCCATATGGGCAGCTGTGACCCCCAGGCCACAGTGTGCCAGGAAGGAGGTGGTGAAATGTTGGGCAGCCCCACCCTCACACTGCACCGTGCTCACGAGGCACCCCTCAGGGGCCCGCCCAGACTGGTGCATTTCACACATGCCCGGGCGCCTCACGCTGCGGGGCTGTCGAGCACACTTTCGGCAGCAAGGATGCAAAGGACACGGGCTCTGACCCTGAGACACACAGCCAGACTCTCCACCCCTAAGCTCCGTGTGGCCTGGGCAACAAGGCAGGCTTCCTTCCCTAAACGCCAGCTGTGTGGCCGTGTGAATGACAGCGAAGCATGCAGAGGGTCTAGGATGTGACACTTTCCCAATAAAAGGCCATGGCTGCCTTCGCTATCGTGTTATTCACAAGCCAGTTGAGACCTGTCTTCCCCAAAGGCTCAGACACAGGTAACCTCGTAAAGAACCACGGTGCAGTCTGAACAAGCACAGCACAACGCATGTTGCTTTGTTACCTGAATGAGGTTGGTTATCTTTTCCTGATAATAAATGCATTGCCTGCTCATTACAGAGTATTTGAAAAATCCCCCAAAAGTACATGAAAACTCCACAGTCCCCTGGCCAGAGAGAATGAACCATTGTTCTACTTTGGCCTGGCCTTGAGCCTCGCCATAGAGCTAGAAAGGCCTAGACAGAGAGATGGTTGAGAACACACGGCTACTGATTTGTTTACTGTCCGTTTTCTCACTTCCTGTCATATTGTGAGCATTTTCTCATTCCTTTGAACACATTTTTGAAACTTCCTGTTTAGAGCCTGCGTGGCATTGCGGCGTCAGAATGTGCCTTATCTGCCTTGTCAGCAATTCCCTGCACTTTTTCTCGCTCCATCCCGCCTTCTGTCCAGTTTCTGGACCAGGTGAGTGGTCCAGGAGCAAAGCCAGTAGCAGAGCATCAGGGAAGCCCCGCCTGTGTAAGACTTTGGCAGCAGCAGGTTCTCCCCAGCTGAGCAGACTGGAATCCAGAAAATTCCAATAGAAGAATTTTGTTGATGGCGCCTGTGCTAAAAGCTGTCTTGCACTCTGCGCAGATCATGCTTTTCCAATGGCACTGAGTGGACAGACTATGTTTCCTGCTGTCTCAACTGTCCCCTCCTGCTCTCTCTCTCAACTAACCACTCCTGATGGATCATGTACTTTGCCTTGCCCTGAAGCTCATAGCAAATGTCTGGGAGAGGATTACCTTGATGGTCCAGTGCCCCGTGGACACGCTGGGCAGGGAGGGTGGTTGTAGCCTGGAGTATCGGTGCAGCCCATATCATGGCTGTATGGAATTCCAAAGTAGTAATCAAAACCTGGAACAGGAGCAACTGGTTAGCACCCCCCTTGGCTGCTGCTGTGTGAGCCTGCATTCTAATGTCCAGGATGAAAATTAAATTTTCCGTGATTTAATACTGCAGTGCTATGGAGTAGGTAATTAAAAGAGGATTTGAGTCATATCCCTTTGTAGTCCGGAAAAAAAAATGCTGTGCTGGGTTCTGACATCTTGTGATCAGTTAACCCAGAGAGGGAGAAGCGGAGAGAATCTTGAACAGCTAACACCCCTAGTGCAACTATAGACACATTCAGTAGCTGGTGCAAATCTATTGCATGCGTGACATTTTAAGACAAAAAGAATAAATTCTGTCCTCAAGAGACTTCCTGTCTGATGGGGTCAATAAGACAGAGCAATTAAGAGGTTTGAAGTAACCAGGAGACTGATGGGGGACCAGGACAGAGCATGGAGCAGGGCAGGAGGGAACTGGCATGAACTTGGACACCAGAATCAAGAAACTTCAGATGTCCAAGCCAGAGGCTTTTAAGAATTGTCCAGCCCAGGAACAGCAAATATGGGAGACGTTCTCTTCCCACTTACTTCCCTAACATGTCCCAAATCCAAAATGGCGCCACTTCCTCCTGGGCAGGACCCAGCCTCAGGATCCCCCTACACGGGACTCTAGGAATATGAAGTCAAGGAGTTGACATTGCCTTCTGGCCTAACTCCCTCATTTGTCAAGTGAGAAGCTAAAGACCAAGGAGGAAAAGTAGGATCGGGAGCAGTTTTTTAGTTCATGAAAAAACCAGGTCTTCACTTATTTTATCCACCATTTAAAATTTTTTTTAATTATGTTTACTGAGGTAGCATTGATTCACAACATTATGTGTATTTTAGGGGTATAGGTTTATACCTCCACAAATGCATGTTACCACGCTGCACCCACCACCAAAGCACCAGGTAAGTAATCTCCCACCACAGTCCATTAGGCCCTTTTGCCCCTTTGCTGGCCACCTTCCATCTCCCCTCTGGAGGTTCAGTCATCCATCATGTTTGCAAAAGCTTATGTGGAAGAGGCTGTGGAAGCCCAATGGGAAATTGGGCACAAGGAAGGAGAGGGGTAGAAGATGCACCAGTGGGGAGGCTGGAGTTGGAGAGGTCAGCCAAGAGGGTGCTGACCCCGCGGAGCCAGGGGCTGGGGGCTGGCTCCAAGTCCAGCCATTGAGAGCCACTCTCCAAACACAGAACTCTTAGGCACAGATCTGCAGGGCTAGTACAGTCTGCAGCCCTTTTCCAGAGAGACAGAGGGAGCTGCTGGAGCAGGGGAGGGGAGAGGCTGCAAAACAGAGAGTGTCCTGGAAGGAAGAGGACTCCCATCTGCAGACAAAGTGGCGGGAGCAGGGAGGAAGCAGGAGGAAGCACACACAGGGCAGGAATGGGACATGCCTCCAGGCTGCTAAGATCAAGAAAGCTGCTTTCAAGAGGAGTCCATGGGTTCCTGCATCACAGAGAAAGGGTAGGTAAGGCCAGAGCAAGGGCCCCCACTGCAGCTGTGGAAAAACATTGATACTTGGGTGCCCTGGACATTCAGAGAACTCAGCCATTAGCGAGTCGATTTTCAGAGACTTGACTCCGGCAGCTGCATCACGGCCTGTCCCCCAGGCTGGACAGGCTGCAGGGAGAAGCCAAGGGGGCATCTCCTGCTCGGGTTCGTGCCCCAGTCCCCCGCTTCTGTGAACCATCAGGACATCTGACCTCAGGGGCCAAATGTCCCCTGAGACATGAAGAGGTGGGTCAAAGAGAAGCCTGGTAGGATCACACTGGAGCAGCCAGAAAGACAGACAGGCACCATAGGGTGGGGATGGGGGCAGGAAAGGTTCCAGGGGAGCCTTGTGTACCCCAAAGGCACCACGTGAACAGAGATAAACCAACTCAGGGGCCATGTCTCCCAGGGCAGAATGGCTTATACCCAGGATCTTTTTATACTGAGATCTTTATGTTGTTTCCCTGGTAACAAATCCTCCAAAGAATTCTTACCACGAAAGTTGGGGTGATGAGCGCCATGGTGCCCGAGATGCCATTTACCTGTAGGGAAAGAAGAGAGAGGCTTTCTGAGGCACCCCTGCTAATCCAGCGCCCCCTGTGGGGGTCTCCAGTTCCCTGGGGAGCTGATCCCACACTCTGTTCTGCATCAGCTTTGCCCGTGACTGTGGACGAGCAAAGAAGCGACAAACGTGGTGTAAAAGCCAAGTTTTGCTGCCTGGGACTGAGAGGGAGTCCCCAGGGAGTCCGAAAGCAAGTGAGAGTGAGTCTGACACAAGCAGGAAAGCACACAGTGAAAGGGGGGAAACAGCCATTACTGGGAGCCCCGGGAGCCAGCAGGCTGAGCTTCTGCTCCCCAAAGAGGGGGTCTGTGCCCAGGACATCCACCCTGTGGGGTGGCTTTCAGGTTCAGAGGCACCTGGAGCCACTGGTCTCACCATCCACCTCACTGGCCAACACCAGCAGCCCCAGAGGCTGGAGGAGACCTCGAGGTGGGGGGAGACCCCTCCAGAAGGCAGACACCAACACTGCCTCTCCTCACTCTGAACGCCCTCATTAGGGAAATAAAGGGGCGAAGCTGCCAGGAGCCTGACAGTGCTGGAACTCTGGACCTGCTAATTCTGCTCGGAGGCATGAAGGCCCCAGGAAGTCACCCCCAAGGCAAGAGGGCAAAGAAAAGAATGTGGTGCAAGATGGAGCAGGGGAGCTGTGAGGACACCAAGGAGAGCCCCCTGGCAGCTGCGGGGACATGGCTGGGTGCATTACTTCACTGGGCTTCCCCACCCACCCCAGTAAGGCAAATGCATGTAGCAAAGGTGACACTGATGACTCTAGGTAAAGGGATAAGGTGTCTACTACTCCCCTTGTGAATGCTCGGTTGGCACTGGGGGTGGGGGTGGGGATGTAATAAAGAATGGAGGGAAATGGATTAAGCATGTGGAATGCTCAGAATAAGCATTAGGTGGGGACCAAAAGCATATTAAAATGCATCATTATTGCTAACATTGTGAATATAATGCATTTGTACAGGGAAATATTACATCATGGTGGGAGGGATAGAACCAATCAGAGTGTGTAAAATGAGGTAAAAACACATCAACAGAAACCAAATGAGAGGCACAGGGAGCGCTGGCAATGGACTTGATGTTCCTCTAGTGAGTTTTCTTTTTCCTGTCAGTGTTTATCGGAGATCCGTCGTGCCGAGCTGAACTATCCTCTCGTGGTCCTGCAGAGGCGCCCTGAGCAAGGCAGCCGACCTGCTCCTCTGGGATCCTTGTATTCTTAGTGGCACAAAGGCGAGGGCACAACTGAAGGCGGATCCTGCCCTAGGGCAACCGAAGCTCCTGTCAGGGCCCCAAACACCCCCTGGATGGGCCCGTGAGGACGCTCAGGCCCTAGTCTGGGGTGGGCGCAGTTACAGCCCAGGGGAGGGGCAGGAATGCACAGGAGAGCGGGGTGGGGCCCTCACTGGCCCTTCTCCCCATGACTGACTGGCCCTCGGGGCCATCAGTGTCATCCTCAGATTTGACCTTCTGTAAGTAGGTGAGGCGCAGCAGAGCAGGAGGCGGCCCGCAAGTTAACAGGCAGCTCCAGGCACCAATCACAGCACCGAGGGGCCCTCCCTTGCCTCTGCAGGTGGAGGCAGGTGTCCCACCGGACCTGGCTCTTGTTGACTCAGGACAACAAGCTTAGGCTGCGGGGCCCGTGGGGTTGTCTGGGTCTCTGGGGGGAGACTGGCGGTGAAGAGAAGGACCAAGCAAGGCTGAGCTGCAGAGACCTGCCCAGACCCGGCCTCCTCCCCGGCGCCAGGCCGGGCAACCTTGCGTCTCTTCTCCTGTCTGAAATTCTCCTTTCTCACCCAGACCATGGGCGAATAAACCCTTCAGAAGACATGGCCACACGTTATGGTGCCCTGGTGTGCATCAACACTCAGCCCCGTGCCTGGCACATGAAAACATGAAATAAAGGTGCCCCCCCAAATGGGAAAGGAATGAAAGTTGTGGGACAAATTAGCAGATGCTGCGGGAAGCCCGCTCCCCCCCAAGTCCACTCACCCTGCAAACAGAGCTGAGTTTTGTTCAGGGGAGGCACCCAAGTCCAAGTCAGTTATACTCTGTCCTCACTTTCAGGCCTCCTTGCGGTGAGCCATGGCTGTGGGCCTGGCTCCACCGACTGGACTGACGCACCTTCTGCGGTGGGAAGGGGAGGGCCTGGGGAAAGCTTGGCTTTCCTGGTCACTGTGAACAGGTGAGGCGGGCACCATGCCCCTTCTGAGCCAGATCTTAGTGAGTGGCACTCAGCGGCCGTCTTGCAGCCATGAGGCCATAAGCACGAGGCAACACGCCGAGGGGCGTGAGGTGAAGGACACGGGAGCTGGCCGCGAGCGCGGGGCGGGCAGCACTCACCTCTCGTTTTGTTAGATGAGAGGAAATAGCCCCGCGCGTGGCTTAGTGCACTGCTGGGCCTTTCACAGACAGAGCTGAAGCGTCCTGACCGCACAGCAAGAAAAAGGCCGAAAGAGCAGGTGTGAGCAGAGGAAGGAGGCAGCTTGTTGGGGCCACAGAAACATGAAGCAGCCACTATAGTAAACGCAGTGGAAGATGGGGGTCCAGGTGGGGGTTCAGGGGCCTGGTGAGGATGGGGTCCGGGTGGGGAGATGGGATCCAGGTGAGACACACAGCGAGTGGTGGAAATGGACGGGGTCCAGCTGGGGGGACAGGGGTCCAGGTTGGGGGTTGGGTTTAGGCTGGTGGGAAGGTGAGAGTCCAGGCTGCGGGGGATGGGGTCCAGTTGCGGAGGTGGCGGTCCAGACTGGGGGCTTGGGGGGCAAGCTGAGGGGCTGCGTGATACCTATCATCCCGGTGATGTAGCCAGCCTGCTGCAGCACCTCGGCCAAGGTGGTCTCATTGAGTGGCAGGCCCCCCACGGAGGTGACCGCAAAGTTGTGGGTGACTCCGTTCCGAAGGCCAAGCCGGCCGGTGAGCAGGGAGGCACGAGAGGGCGAGCAAGTGGAGGCAGCTGCGTGGAAATCCACAAATCTGCGAAGAGAGAGCAAAGTGGTAGGGATTCTTGCCACCGCTGGAAACCAGACCAAAAGCAAATTCAATTCCGTCTCAGTTCCCTGGATTCCAGCGCAGGGAGAAAGCGCAAAGGTGACCTAGGCTGGGGACAGGTAAGGAAAACGAAGCTCAGAGAAGCAGCGCCACGAACCTAAGTCAGGAAGCTAATTCAAGTTGATTTAATCCAACATATTTAGTTGATCAAAGAATCCATCTTTACAATTCACCTACTCACTAAACTGTATTTGGAACCGCGAAGTCAGTACCCACAGTTTCTGAGTAGTGATTGGTGGACACACCTGTGCACCTGAGCCCAAACAGGTGATCCTCTTGCTTTACAGCATGAGCCAGCGTCCCCCATTTCATGGGCTACTTGCTCCCATGATTCCTGTGCTTCCTGCTGGGGATCTCACTGCATGAAATGACCCCCAAGCACAGTGCTCAGGGGACTGGTCAGTGTCCTGAAGTGCAAGGATGCTGAGATGCATCTTATGAAGATAACTTGTGAGATACGCCTCATGAGGAATGAGTTACAGGGCTGTTGATGGTGAATTTATTAATTAATCAATAACATGGTCTGCATATGGTGTCCTTAAATAGAAACATGCATAAGGCAAAGCTCTGTACTGAGCAGCTTAGGGAAGTGCTGTGACCACAGGCTCAGAGGACCAGTCCCTCCTCCCCTGGAGCAGTGGCTCAGTGTTTGCTAATTCAGTGTTCACGGGGGTGACTTTATAGAACAAAACTACTGCCAGAAACTAGAATCACACGCGTCCAAATGCCCAGCTCTTTTTCAGACATGGAGAAAGATAAAAGTGTAGCCACTGTCCTACCCTCAAGGAACACACAACCTCACTGAGACACAGACATGCACATTCAAGTAGTAAAACTGCAAAGTAGTGTCGCTACTGGACATAGGGGCAGGGATGCTGTAGGACTGCAATGAGAAAAGCACCTTGGTGAGGCGTCCAGGGGACCCTAGAGTCCAGCTGTATGTACCGTGTAGCTTTATGAAGGATGTGTTTTTATTAAGAATGTATTTTATTACATTCACATTGTTTTATTCTTAAGAGATACATGTTGTAGGGCCTCCCTGGTGGCGCAAGGGGTTAAGTCTCAGCACTATGAAGCTGTCTGCAGCCTCTGCAGCATGAGTTTGATCCCCAGCCAGGGAGCTACCCACATGGCACCGCAGACCTCTCCTGTCTCGCCCGCTGATCCCCTCAGCAGTGTATTTCAGCAGATCCGCCTGTTCTGCTCCCTACTCTGTCTCTGGTGAATCCTCTCACCCCCTTCCCCCAACACTTCTGGCCTGTACCCCAGTTCTTGTATGCATAAATTAAAAAAAAATGAGATACACGCTGTGAGGTCAGGATGTCTGCACCCTTCATATGGTGCAGGAAAAAACAGCAAGTGGGCTCCAACAACAGGAAGCGGGGGGTGACCTGAATATACACAGGGGGTGGGGAAGTGTGTGTTAGGGAGGTACTTCTCCAAAGAAGTTACATATTAGCTGAGACCAACGGTGTGTGTGTGTGTGTATATATATATATATATATATATATATATATATAAAATATCTATATTACATGTAGAAACCTATCTATAGTATATGTTTGTGTTTCATCATAATAACAATAGCTACTTGTTATCAGGTGGCCCCCACCCTAGTCCTGTGACATGTATTATTTCTTCTGTCAGAATCCCCATTTTACAAATAAGGGAGGTGAGGCAGAGAGAAGGAAAGCAGCTTTCCCAAGACTACCCCGCGGGTGAGTGCAGACGCAGCTTTCGTAATCCGACACTAAGAAGATGGCAGAACTGGAAATAGTACCCAGGCCTGCTTGAGTGAAATCCCCTGTTCTTTCCCCTTGCCTTTCCAGCCCGGGAAGGCTGGCTGGAGCAGCTCAGTCCGCAAAGGTCACTGGTCTGGGGCTGGGGAGGTCCCAAGACTCACACTCAGCAGGGCCAACCCCAAGAGGGTGACTCACAGCCACACCAACCCCATGAGGCTGAGAGAGACACGGACTGACTTCCAAGAACAGGCCAGAAACCGGCGTCAGCATGGCCTGCACACGAGTCACACGGGAATCAGCATCCACAGTCTGCCTCCACGAGTGTGTTGTTGTTGCCTCCGTGAGTGTGTCGTTACCCCCGGAGTGCAACGGATCATAAGGTCCTTCAGTTTGCTAAGTGCTGGAGACGTGGGGCTGGGACACTGGAAGGTTGACACCAGCATTTCTTCTTCCCTGGACTGAATGTCCGTGTCCTCCCTAAATCCATAGGTTGAGGCCTTCACTCCCAGTGTGAGAGTACCGGGAGGGGAGGGAGGTCTTTAGGATGTAATCAGGTTTCGATGAGATCGTGAAAGTGGAGCCCCGCCTTGCTGGGATAAGTGTCCTTATGGGCAGAGGAAGTGAGACCAGCGCTTACTCCTTATGCACCATGTGAGGTCACAGCAGGAAGACGGTCGCCTGCCAGCCAGAAAAGGGTCCTCAGCAGAACCTGGACCAGCTGGCATTAGATCCTGGACTTGCAGCCTCCAGAAGGGTGAGAGATGCCTGTTGCAGCCACCCAGCCCACTGTGCTAGTTCTACCTGTCAGCAGTCAGCTGACGGGGTACCCGGGCCGGGCCCAAACCGCAGTGCCCGGTGCTCGCCCCGCTGGGGCTGGTAGTGACTGTCCCACCCGTGTTCTCCCCTTGACCGTGTTAACCCATTGCCTGGGGAAGAGCTCCAGCACATTCTGCAGCAAGGTGGACCTCTGCCTCCCACCAGGACGGCAAACTCCTGTAACTACAATGACGATGGGGTTTCGAGTTGCAGCCCCAGCCCAAGCAGCGTGTGCCTGGTGGACGGAGTTGTCCCAGAACTAACTGGTGAATGAACAAACAAAGTCAGAAGACAGAAGCCCAGGTTGTTTGCTTGGAAAAAACACATTAGTCCATTTTTTACCATAATCACTTAAGCTGATGCTTTCAGGCCTCCATCCCTTTCCCACTGCGTGTTAAAGTTCCTGCTGAACTCTCAAAAGTGAAAAATCTTCCTTCTTTCTTTCCAAGTCTTTGCAGGACCCTGACGGTCACCAACCCCACCGCCCCAACCCCCTCAAAAAATAAAACTAACATCACCCGAGCAGCCAGAGGCACTGACCTGCTCCTCCCTGTTCCCTTCTCCCGGCCTCTGTCTCCATTCGGCAGAGACTAATTAATAAGCCATGAAATGGCCTTGCTATTTGGAAAGCGGCTTTTGTTTTTCTCCAAATCTATCTGGGCAGGTTCAGGCCGGTTCACCAACAGGGGTCCTCATTAAAGTCTGAAAATACATTGTAAGCAAAGCTGGAGACGCACACCCAGACGTGACAGCATCCTGTTAACAGCAAAACCAACGCAAATTAAGACACAGCCAGACAGAAACCAAAGCAACTCGCCACGGCATAAATTATGCGTGTTAGGATCAGAGGCAGCTCCCACAAAGAGGCGGCCATGAAGTTCTTGGAGAGACACATCCTTGCAGAAGTGTGCCCAGGGTTCAGTTACAAGGAATCGAAAATGGATGATGAGGGGCCTCCCTGGTGGTGCAAGGGGTTAAGTCTCAGCACTATGAAGCTGTCCGCAGCCACTGCAGCACAAGTTCAATCCCAGGGCAGGGAGCTACCCACATGGCACAGCAGACCTCTCCTGACTTGCCTGCTGCTCCCCTCAGCAGTGTATTTCAGTGGATCTGCCTGTTCTGCTCCCCACTGTGTCTCTGGTGAATCCTCTCACCCCCCACACCTCTGCCCTGTACCCCAGTTCTTGTATGCATAAATAAATAAATCTTTTAAAAAAATTAAAAATAAACAAATAAATAAAATAGATGATGAGGCCTTCTGAGGCCACTCTCTAAATTGCTAGTGACTGGAATAAAAATGATCTTTGCTCCATTCATAATTTAAGGGCTGGGAGGTGGGAGGGGGCGTTTGAAATCCCTTGCCGTGGCCTCGGTGTGTTGGACACACATGGGCAGCTGTCCTCACGGTGCCGTCTGTTCAATGGGAAGACACAGTCAGCCTGCGAAGGTTGTTTGGTGGCTGATTGATGTCGCCCGTACACAGACCCTCTGTAAATCCCAAGCAAAGGCGACAACAATCGTGAACTTGCTGTGTGGCGTGGATGCACTTGGTCACTCCACTTGACTCAGTCCTGCATTTGTTCTACTGCTCACACGCTGGCAGCTGGTTCGGGTGTCTTCCTTAGCCAGTCCCCCCTGTTTCCCATTCCCGCCGTGGATATGGGCACATTTTGATCAAGGAAGGACATACACAGGGACACAACAACAGGAGCTACCCAGGAGCATCTCAGCAGACAGGACACTCCCCACCCCGTCACTATACTCTGAGCCAGCCACCCTGGAGCTCGCTGTAATGGCCCCTGCCCTCCCAGCTGCCAGGTGACCCCTTGGTAATCTGGAGCCACCCAGCTCCAAGGCAGGCTGGAGGCTCAGTTCTCAGGCTCCGTTCGGCCTTCAGGATCGAGTGCAAATGCTCGCGCGTGCAAATGCTCCACTGCACCCTTCCCCAGCTGCCTCGTCCATCGGTCCAGCCTCACGCTCCCTGCCCCAGCCACACTCCACCACCACAATGCAGACCGGCTCCGGGAGAGAGAGAGCCTTTTAGGAGTTGGATCCCAGGCGTTCCCAGCACCCCGCCCGGTGCCCAGGCTTTCTGAGTATTTCCCGAGCACATGGCACGTTTCCATGCTCGGTGCTTGCTCCTGCTCTCCCTCTGCCTGCATCTCTTTCCTCCAGTGCGCCTGGCTAACTCCTCCGCTTTTAAGGCTTCAGCACTAGGGTGGATAAGCTTTCCTGAGTAACCCCTGGAGCAGCTCCCGTTGCCCGCAGTCCCACGGCACTGTCTTCCAGAGACTTCTCCCTGATTATCTGCCCAACGGCGAGAAGTCCAGCACCATCTTTCTTATTCTTGACTGTGACCAATGTTGA